TCGTGATCTTGTTCTCAACGTGGACCGACAACAGCCCGGAGGAACCTCCCTGCATGGAATCTTGAAGCGGGACTGAAGTCGCTCGCCAGTGTAGCCCCTAGTGGGGTTGTCCCGGGTTGCCCGCTGGGGTGCGCGCGGTTCAAGAGTTGCCATGCTCACCGCGAATCTACCCGTGGTGAACGAGGGGCACCGGTTGCTGCTTACCTGGTCAACCTGGATGGCCGTGCCGGTTGCCGTGCCGGCTCACATCACTGCAGCCCGAGGCCCCGCGACCCGGCGACGGGGCGAGCGTGGCGTGCGGGCGCCGCGTGCGCTGCTGGCAGGTGGTGCAGGCCGGCGTGCTGGACGACGTGCGGGGCGTGCTGCAGCCGGCGCCGCTGTCTCATTATCGGCGGCCTCCTGGTGCCGCAGTGCGTCGCGGTGGTCGCGGTGGTCGCGGCGGTGGCACCGGCCGGCCCGTCGCCGCGTCGCCCCGTCACGTGGACGTCGTGGAGCTCGTCGACTTGCACTGAGTGCCACTGAGTGCTGCCGCACCGCGTCGAGCCGCGTCGAGCCGCGTCGTCCGGCGTCGCGCTGCGCTCTGCCTGTTTGGTCCAGCGGTCCAGCGCCGCGCCGTCGCAATCCCTGGGGCCCTGAGGCGGGGCGCCTTGCCGTGGCTGCGCGCTGCGCCGTGCCCGGCTGGCCGGCTGGCGACGCTGGCGACGCTTGCGACGCTGGCTGGCGTGGCGGTGGGGTTGGTGGTGGAACCACCGCGGTGCGCGCCCAGCTCTGCCAGCGGCTGCCAGTAGACTCTCCACCGGCCCGTCCCTCCCGTCCCCACCCCGGCCCGCGTTCCCGCGTCCCCGCGTCCCCGCGTCCCCCGCGCCCCCACCCCGGCCCGGAGGGTGGACCCTGGACCCGCCAGGCCCTCGGCCAGGCCCTCGGCCAGGCCCTCGGCCAGGCCCTCGGCCAGGCCCTCGGCCAGGCCCTCGGCCAGGCCCTCGCCAGGCCCTCGCCAGGCCCTCGGCCAGGCCCTCGGCCAGGCCCTCGCCAGGCCTCGCCAGGCCCTCGCCAGGCCCTCGGCCAGGCCCTCGGCCAGGCCCTCGGCCAGGCCCTCGCCAGGCCCTCGCCAGGCCCTCGGCCAGGCCCTCGGCAGGCCCTCGGCCAGGCCCTCGGCCAGGCCCTCGCCAGGCCCTCGCCAGGCCCTCGGCCAGGCCCTCGGCCAGGCCCTCGGCCAGGCCCTCGGCCAGGCCCTCGGCCAGGCCCTCGGCCAGGCCCTCGGCCAGGCCCTCGCCAGGCCCTCGCCAGGCCCTCGGCCAGGCCCTCGGCCAGGCCCTCGCCAGGCCCTCGGCCAGGCCCTCGGCCAGGCCCTCGGCCAGGCCCTCGGCCAGGCCCTCGGCCAGGCCCTCGCCAGGCCTCGCCAGGCCCTCGGCCAGGCCCTCGGCCAGGCCCTCGCCAGGCCCTCGGCCAGGCCCTCGGCCAGGCCCTCGGCCAGGCCCTCGGCCAGGCCCTCGGCCAGGCCCTCGGCCAGGCCCTCGGCCAGGCCCTCGCCAGGCCCTCGCCAGGCCCTCGGCCAGGCCCTCGGCCAGGCCCTCGGCCAGGCCCTCGGCCAGGCCCTCGGCCAGGCCCTCGGCCAGGCCCTCGGCCAGGCCCTCGGCCAGGCCCTCGGCCAGGCCCCCCTCGCCAGGCCCTCGGCCAGGCCCTCGGCAGGCCCTCGGCCAGGCCCTCGGCCAGGCCCTCGCCAGGCCCTCGGCCAGGCCCTCGGCCAGGCCATCGGCCAGGCCCTCGCCAGGCCCTCGGCCAGGCCCTCGCCAGGCCCTCGGCCAGGCCCTCGGCCAGGCCCTCGGCCAGGCCCTCAGCCAGGCCCTCGGCCAGGCCCTCGGCCAGGCCCTCAGCCAGGCCCTCGGCCAGGCCCTCGGCCAGGCCCTCGGCCAGGCCCTCGCCAGTGCCAATGTGGCACCCCTTATCGGGCAGCCAGGTGCCTCCCGGTGTCGCCGGGTGAATTACCTGCCAGGAGCCTTGCCGCCGAGAGGAACTCGGGGAAGTCGGCGGAGGCCGGAGGGAAAGATCGCCGCGACACCACGGCAGTGCACTGCCAGGAGAAACGGCCGCCGCTTAGAGCACCACTCCCTGCGGATCCTTTTTGTTCGTGACAGTCACCCTTTTCTCCTTTTTCGGCCGCCCGACTCGTTTTGATTGGTGCCCCTGCCTGCCCTTCTGGCCCTTCTTGCCCTTCCCCTCCGGGAGCTAATCCCGCTCAGGCGGCCCTCTGGATGTCCTGCGCGTCCTGGGCGTCCTGGATGTGCCCTAATGAGCCCTCCAGCGTCCTCGACGTCCTCGTCCTTGCTTCCTTCCTGGGCCCTGCCGTGCCCGAGCCGGCCCGAGGGACCTGACCGGGGGAAATGAATACCGGCCCAGATTACCTCTTTTACAAATGAAGCAGAGAGAGGCGTGAAGCCACCTCGGTGCAGAGGCCACGCGGGGTCTTAAATCGCGCCTTTAGTCAAGAGGCCTCGGCCCTCGGCCTCGCCTCAGGGAGGTTGGGGGGGGGGGATGGCCGAGGCCCACCGCCGGCAGGCGGGATTGCCAAAACGGCGAGGGGGAGGAAAAGTGCGGGCCGAATTTATGTGGTGGATGGGATGGGGTGTCACACGCGGCCACACCGCCCCAAGGGCCTGCAGGCAGCCTGCAGGAGGCACGACGGTGAGCTCGCGCGAAAACGTGCAAACGTGGGAGCGTCGCCATGCAGTGCCTCCAGGACTCCGGAGCGTGTTTTGGCGGGGAGGCATCGCCTCGCCGGCTGCGCGCTACGCTACGCGCTGCGCCTCGCTCGGCGGCTCAGCTCCGTTCAGCTCTGGGCAGGTCGGGTCGGGTCGGGTCGGGTCGGGTCGGGTCGGGTCGGGTCGGGTCGGGTCGGGTCGGGTCGGGTCGGGTCGGGTCGGGTCGGGTCGGGTCGGGTCGGGTCGCGTCGGGTTGGGTCGGGTCGGTTCGGGTCGGGTCGGTCGGGTCGGGTCGGGTCGGGTCGGGTCGGCGTCGGGTCGGGTCGGGTCGGTCGGGTCGGGTCGGGTCGGGTCGGGTCGGGTCGCGTCGGCCAGTCGGGTCGGCGGGTCGGATCGAGCTCGGAATCGGGTCGGCCTTGTCGGGTCGGTCGGTCGGGTCCGCGGTCGGGCCACGCTACGCGCGGCGTACGGTCAGTCAGGTCGGGCGGTCGGTCGGGTCGACGCGGGTCGCAGCGGCTCGGTCGCGCGCGTCGGGTCCGGTCGGCGGTCGGGCAGGTCGCCGGCGGGCGGGTCAGGGTCGGTCACCCGGGCGGTCGGGTCAGGGAGGGTCGGGTCGGCGGGCGGCTCGGGTCGCCGTGCGCTCGGGTCGGGTCGGTTCGGGTCGGGTCGGGTCGGGTCGGGTCGGGTCGGGTCGGGTCGGGTCTTGGGTGCGCCGTCGGGTCGCGTCGGGTCGGGTCGGGTCGGGTCGGGTCGGGTCGGGTCGGGTCGGGTCGGGGGGTCGGGTCGGGTCGGTCGGGTCGGGTCGGGTCGGGTCGGGTCGGGTCGGGTCGGGTCGGGTCGGGTCGGGTCGGGTCGGGTCGGGTCGGGTCGGGTCGGGTCGGGTCGGGTCGGGTCGGGTCGGGTCGGGTCGGGTCGGGTCGGGTCGGGTCGGGTCGGGTCGGGTCGGGTCGGGTCGGGTCGGGCCGTCGGCCCACTCCGCCGGCCGCGACAACGAGCTCAATAGGGTTGCCTTGTCACCTCGGCGGCTGCGGACCGCCACGCCACGCTACGCCGCGCTACGCCAAGCAGGCCGCGGCCGCGGAGTGACGCTGGCGCAGACGCTACTTCCTGCCGCCGCCTGGCCGCGTCCGCAGCGTCCACAGCGTCCCCCGTGACGGAGCAGCAGGCATCGTCACCACCACGCTGCTCCATCAAGGAGAGGGTCAAGAAGGTCATGCGGTGCCCCACCATCTATCTCGTCGGCTCGCCGTCGCCTCACCGCCGCCTCGCTCTCGGAGCCGACGGGACGAGCCCTCCGTGCCGGCAGCGGTCCGCTGCTTCGGCGCTTGGCTTGCCGCACCTCGCCCTGATTCAACGCATGCCGAAGCATCCAGCTGATGGCAAAATGCGTGAAAGTGTTCTCCGTGGAGACCCTGCAGACTGACTCCGAGAGTCGTTTTCGTCGCTCTGTCTCTCTCGCATCCATAGGGGACGTCCCATGCGAGGAAGACAGAGCGACGAAAACGACTCTGCACCAACTTCGCTGGGCGTCGGGCGCTGGACGTCGACCGACCGTCGGCCTAGAGTCCTACAGTCCGCACGCCGCTCGTGCGAAGAGAGCAGCCTACCGCACAGGCGTTCTCGGCTGGGCCGAGTGGAGCGGCCGAGAGCCGCAAGTAGCGAGTTCGAGAGGCCGAGAGCCGCAAGTAGCGAGTTCGAGAGGCCGAGAGTAGAGAGTTAGAGAGGCCCAGAGCCGCGAGTTGAGAGTTCGAGAGGCCGAGAGTAGAGAGTTAGAGAGGCCCAGAGCCGCGAGTTGAGAGTTCGAGAGGCCCAGAGGTCGAGATCCGAGGCGGCCGGGCCGGGCCGGACGAAGGGACTCTTCCAAGTCGGCTGGTGAAATGGTCTTCTGGCCAACTTTCTTGTGCCATTGTTATATTTGATGATGAAATTCTACCCATATTTTATGTGGTGACTGGGGCTACACGACGATGGAGCGACACTCGAGTCCAGAACCGTGCAGTGGGTGTTAAACGGTGTTAAATTTGCCGCTCCGTTTAAAGCTCCCTTTTGTTGCCGCCTCAGCATTTACCAACATGTCGATGGTTACTGAAGCCTTGTATCCGGCATAAAATGGTAAAAAAAAGCGCCCGCGACCGATCAAACGTTGAATTTATTCATCTGTTAGAAAGGAGACGATTTAAAATGAGAAAATAAGTCACGAAGTTGTTTGAAATTTGTGCATTTGACTCGACCGAGTGCCTCCGCTATGTTGGTGAAGAAACAGAACAGAAAATTTTTCATAGGACTCTTACTTCCCCGAAGGTGCGTGGTGTTGGTGTTGTCGTCCGTCGTCCACTTGTGTATTTATTTTGATCTTCTTTATTGAAGCTGGAATAATTACGTGATAGATGTTCTAGTTACCTTAATGCCATGGACTAATTGCGAGCTGTGTCTACCTTCGTTTTGGGGTGCTCACGAATCTTATCCCCGTTGAAAATCAAGCCCACTTGCGAGACGTCGAGTAAACCGGTAAACTTTGCAGAAAAAAAAAAAAACTCTGCAATTTCGAACTTTACTAAGCCTTTCAGTTTAGTTCTCTCCTAGATAATTTTCTAGCTATTCCCAAATTTTTAATTTTCAATTTTCTTGCTATTTACAGAGTGGTAAATTTTTGTAAGGGATGTAATTGTTTAATCTTCATATGCAATTTATGAAAAAAGTCTTAAATTTGTAATTGGTTTTGACAAAAGATCGACACGACTCCCTTACCATAATTGTTGACATGACACAACCAAATCCTCCATCTCCGCAAAACAATCTGGACCGCAATGGCTTGGATACTGCAACTCGTAAGTTTTCTATTGATCATAACAAATCTGGAAACCTGTAATTTACACTTTCTTATTATATAAAAATTGCCCTTTAGCTAATTTATTATTGGATCACCCTGGAATGGACCAAAATGGATCAGTCACTACAGACTGTGCACCCACCACCATTGAGGCAGAACTATCGAACTTGCAACAGGCATCCATGGATTATCTAGGCAGTATGGAACAATTACAAATCCAAACATCAGATACCACTACTAAGCAGCCTGCAGAATTGATTCCAGAAGAAGATAAGGTCCCCCAAGAAAACTCGTTGGAGGCACAATTTAGTGATAGTGGAAAAACACCTGACCCTAAAGATGTTCTTATGGAAGGTGTAGAGATACCGCCAAATATTGATGAAGTTACCTCTGTCCTCTTGTGTCGCCTATGTTCTCTACCATGCCAAGAGGCAGCTCCTGTGTTTTTGTTCCGACATCCTCCTCATCATCCTGAAGTACTTCCCAAAGAAGCACCTATCAATCAAGAAGAGGAAGAGCTTGGAGACATTCTTTCAATGATTAAAGCCACTCTACCTATTAAAGTATGGCCTTCTATTCACTTAATTCATTTATTACTGTGTCTTCTCCCTTTTTTTGTGTAATGTTCTTTATTATTTTAAAATTCAGGTGAGCTGCTGTGATAAACTTCCTAAACAAGTTTGTACAAAGTGTGTGGAAAGATTACGTTTATCACATGCATTCACAGCTACAGTTTTAAGAGCAGAGAGTCAGTTAAATAGTTTACGGTAAAAGCACTGCTGTTATTTTTCAATATATTCTAACTTATGATTTGGTTTGCTTGTGGAATGTTTCAATTAAAAATGGTTTAATATTTGTTGGTGGCTTTTTTGCAGTGCTCATCAAAAGACAGATAAAGCTGACTCAAATGATATGAGGAATCCTTTCAGCCCACAAGCTCCTTATGATTGCCCTATATGCAAAGAAAGCCCAGTGCTGTCTATTCAATCCTCGTCTCATTTAGATTTTCACTCAGGAAGGTATGATTGGGAGAATGTTATTGTCAAAAATGAACCAGAGGACCCTATAGAGCCCTCTGCTGAAGACCTTGAGAGGTCATATAATGAATTTTTTGGAGGCCAGAAAGATTTTGAAACTTTTCGAACTGAAGAAAGAATCACGTTGAAACCATCAAAACCTGCATGTAGGAGGAAACATCATTTTTATTGTAGCATTATTGTAACTTGTTGATACACATACTTGCATTCTTTCACAAAGGTTTTGGAGGAAGGAGACCAAGAGGCAGACCCCGAAGCCGGCCTTTCAAACTGACGCCAAGAGGAAGAAGGGGTAGACGCAGCACCCAAACAACTGTCGAGAGGATTCTCGAATTAAGCCAAACATCACCGGATGCTGATGGTAAATTTTGTTCTTAATACTATTTGTGCCACTCATGCTAATCTTAATTATTTCTATATTTGCTTTTCTGTCATCTAGGTTACGGGTTTAGGATATGCAGTAGGGAAAATAATCCTGCCTCTGAAGCTCTTACTCAGTGTCTCTTGTGTGATAAATGGCTGCTAGGGATTGCTGCCTGCTTGCAACACTCTCTAGCGGAGCACATGGACTGTGGTTCTTTTTTGTGCCCTCGGTGTCCTCGTGATGATTTTCCTGGTGACTTTGAATTGATTCAACACTACCAAGAGTCACATTGCCCTGATCTTGAGCTGTATGAAGTGTTTCAGGTAGATACCAGTTTGGCTAAACTTTTTATTTAGGCATTAAAGTTACTAATTTTATTCATTTTTATTGCATTTCTAGCAGAGTGAACGAAGTAATACACCCAACATCACTCTCAACAATGTACAATCCGAAATGGAACTTGCACCTGATTGCAACATGATTGAGGCAAATGTTGGAAAGAAAGAGGGAAAAGGGACTCCTCTTGAAAGTTCCTGGCATGTAGAACCTATGGAGTTTGATAATCTTAATAATCTGCACAACACACCACCCAATGATCTGTATGAAAGTCAAGATGAAGTATCATCAAATTTATCTGAATTAGCCCCAAGATCTTTGACTTCTCATTCTGCCATGTATGAAGAAGAGTCAAACTCTATATCGACTCATGGCTCAGACTCAAATTTGGCTCACGAAGATATATTAACAAGTCATATACCAGATCAACATACATTGCAGGACGAATTAATGGGTCAATCCTCCAACCTTGCTGATGAGGTTTCATTCAGTAACTCTCCGTGTACTCTTGGAGTGGGAGATTTTGTCGATTTGAGGTCAATCGAGGAAGAAAGCCAGGATAATAAATCAGTCAATAAGACAGACTTCTGTAGTGTGCAGGACAGCACTGCTGTTGGTGAAGTCAATATTGGCCAACAAGGAAACGACTTTAAAAGTCTCCAGGAAGATTGCCAGGAAAGTCAAGATTCTCTTCGAGCTGATGAATTATGTGGTTTTCAAGAGGCTATAAATGAGAAAAGTCAGGAAGTAAGTTTAAATGGAAGCGCAATTGATTTTAATCCTTGACTTTGCTCCTTTCTTGATTTCATGGCAATGTTCATCACAAACATCTTAATAATTTAGATTAGGCCATTCCATACTCCCCATTTCCCTACTTACCAGTTCTGTACACTGCAGTGATGCAGTTCTGAAGTTTGTTGCATGTTTCAATGCTCCTGCCAATACTAGCTCTGTTTGAAATTTACTCACAGATAGGGGGTAAAAAGTATAGGTGTCAAAAAGTATCAAAATTAATCTTTTTCCCCCATTAAGTATATGTGAAGAAGATAAACCTAGGTATCTTCATTGAGCAATACTGCTAAAAGTACTAAAATAATTTCAATTGTTTTGACTTGCATTTTTTGTTGTTGCTTTTTTTTAGTATCATGTTTTCCACACACTTTAGAAGATTGTAATTTTATTGTATTTATTTGTACAGTATTTAATGGCGCAAGGGAATACTTTCTTCCAGCTTAATGGCTGAAATACTCCTGTCTTGCTTGTTGCTTCCAGTATTGATTGTTTTTCTAGTTTTAAAGTATACTGTAAGGTGAAATTAAAGTGCCATAAGTTTGTGCTTCCCCTTCCCCCAAGATGAACTGCAGTAATGTTATAAACATGTACATGTAATGATATCCTGCCTAATGTGTTTCTCGTAGGATCCCTTCTATTTTTATTTACTGCAAGGCACCTTTCTTCCTCATTTTAAATTAATTCTTTTATTTTTTGGACTCTTTTTATCCCCAATATGAAGTTGCAAAATTTAGGTGCCCAAGGCATCATTGTATAAAAGAAATCAGGTACTTAAAAAGCACAATAGGTTTGAGTTTTGGGGAAAGTGGGAAAATGGTGTGAATCATCTTTTAATTAAGTGGTCTGACAGATAGAGATAGATGTAAGAACCATTTTGATCGGAAGAAAGAACTTATGAATTCTTTTGTAAACCAATTTTATTGAGAGGTGTGAATGGGGCAACTTACTGTTACAATGAAATCTAAAAGAGTAAAATAAATCTGTAAATCCTTTTGGCTTTTTTTTTCATCATGAAAGACAAACACCATTTTGTTAAACTATAATTTTCATTCAAATGATCTCAAAATTGTAATGACATGAATGATGAAATAAATTGATCCATTTAAGAAGACACATGAAGGGTCATTTAAGAAGCTACAATTAACATCACATATTTGTATTGATGCCACCACAGCACCAAAACATATTACAAACAAAAACAGATTGTTCATCCAATTGCTGCATCTAACTAAACTAATCATAAAATCTGCACATCACATTCTATTATGAGCATCTTGCAATGCGGTCAAGTTCAAGCTGTTACGGCATCTCTAGAGGTTGCATCTTTTTGGTTTTCTTTATCGAGTAATTCGTAAACTACAAGGGTAACACCAGGATGAAGCATGTACTTTTTCTTCTCAGGTCGCATTTTGTTGGCAAAAATATCATGCCTCTCAGTCTTTTTCCACAGGTAGTAGAACTGAACTATTTCGCTGACAGTTCTCGTCCTCACCCTCTGAGCTTGGATGGCGTGAAAGTCTTTGCCGAAGGTGAGGATGCCGTTCTCGAACTCCCTGCACTCCTCGTCCGTCCAGGGCGTGGAGGCGGCCGCGCCGGGCGGCCCGGGCGAGGCGGAGTGCCGCTTCCTCAGGGCCTCCTCCACGTTGTGGTTGCACTGCATGAGCTGGAACAGCGCCTGCTCGTCGTCGCGGACGTGCGCGCCCATGGGCATGAGGTCGAGCCCGTCCGCGGAGGCCACGGAGTCCGCCATGGCCTGCGAGGTCTGCAGGTACAGGTCGATGGCGTCGCTGGGCAGGCCGCTGCGGGGCTCCCACAGCAGCTTGTCGTTGTGCTTGTACGGCTTGTCGGCGTACTTGGTGAAGCCCTCGGGCACCACGGCCTGGTACGCGCTGCCGATCATGATGGTCTTGCGCATCTCCTCCTCCTCGCTGCTGGAGCAGTCGTCGTAGCTGTCCTCGCTGTGGGCGTGCGTGCCTTGGGCGGCCGGCCGCGCCACCGTCCTGCGCTGCCGCGTCGTCCTCTCCTTGCGCTCCTCCACCACCTTGGCCTCGCCGCCGGCCTCGCTGGCCTCGTCCAGCTCCAGCGGGTCTGGGTCCGCGGCCGACGGCGGCTCGGACGCGGAGTCGTTGTGGTGGTGCAGGGAGAGCGAGCCGACGTCAACCTTCTCGAGCGGCAGAGCCGCGGCCGCCCTCCGGTCGGGGAGGATCTCCTCGGAGGCGCTGCTGGACCGGGAGCCGTCAGCCGCGTCCTGGGGCGGGGAAGGCCCTGTGCCCGACTGCGGGGGTGAGTGCCGGGCCGCCTGCAACCAAGGAGAAAACAAATGCACAGGTGCACTGACCACTTCTAGATTTGCTATCGGTACTGAACCAACCGACAAATCTTTCAGCACCATTTGGTCCAGAAACTGCACAATTACGTAACAACAGGAATAACGCTAACTAGACCTTGACAAATTTATGCCGTATAATTGGTTCAGTTAAAGTAGGTGGGCTGGCAAGCCTTTGCTATGCAGGCCTATTTTTGGTGGTATTATGAGTGTGGAAAACAGTTCTTACTAAGGGATTGAATCCTTATAATGACCAGAACGGGCGCAGTAGGCACTCTGACAATGAGCCTCCCTGCAGACTGATTCCGAGAGTCGTTTTTGTCGCTTTGGCTCTCGCATCAATACTGCATGCCCCATGAGTGTGAGAGAGACAGAGTGCCAAAAACGACTCCCAGAATCAGTCTGCTGGAAAGAGTCGGCTGTTTAGGATTTTCTTTGGTCCCAGTCCCGCTAACTTTGACTTAACCAACTACAACCCACCCTATGTGTTCAATAGCTGTGGCTGTATCATTTCATCAAATTCCACTTCATATGTAAAATCATGATCACATTCAATCAATAAAACATACTCCATTAAATGTACATTGATGCAAGTTTACTCAGAAACAAACTTATGATGTAACACAAATTGAGACAGAGTGTGGACGGAGACGGAATAGTTGTGGAAGCCTCTGAAGGAATTAAAGCCAATACCTGGGGTGGCATTCCCTCGTCGTCCACGTCCATGCCGGTGTCGGTCTCGGCCTTGACGGGCGCTGCACCAGGGGCCGCCGAGAAGGGCGCGCCCTCCCTCTTGACAGCACCAGTAGCAGACTGCTGGTGCTGGTAGGGTTCTGGGGCGCCGCCCGCATCGGTGTCCACGGGCTTTTCTTGCTCCACATCGCACATCCCTTGGAACTCCATCGTCACTCGCAGGCCTAAACGACGCTCCCTAATTTTCTGAATCAGGAATCACCATTCGATTTGTGGCGGGAGTCGAACTTGCATTGAAGTTTGGCAAATAAAATCGAGCATCGGTATACATCAAGTTTCTTGGGTTGTGTAGACAACAAAAACATTTGGGTGTTTTGTTTTGTCCGTCCCACCGTTATTTGCAGTGTGGGTGCGTTCCCGAAATGGGCGACGTGCGGATACCAAGGCAACGCCCTCTACAAACTGGCCGAATTTGATCACTCTTGTTTTTGTTGTTAAATTTATTTGTTCTGCTGACATGTACGGTTTCTTATTCGTGTTTATGCTGTGTGTCTAACCTCACTGAACCCGAGGAAATCCTGTTGACATTTGATTGTCCAGGAAATGATTCACCCGTGATATCAAGTCCTGCCTTCTCACTCTGACTCGTAAGATATTTTCTACCTTATTAAGGTGGGTCAAACTTCAAAATCATTACTCTTCTTGCTTTGATTTTTCGGTTTGATTGCTCAGATGTGTTCACTGCTATTTTTCCATACGGAACGATCGCAGTTTCACCACTGCCTAGTTTTTGAATTGCCCTGTTGTGCTGTCGAACTCGGTTGATTAGCGCATATCATTTATTTTGTTTTTACTTCACTAAAATTTGGAACATTTGTTTTATTTTCAGGTTTTGTATTGTTTAAATCAGATCTGAAATGGCTGATTTTGCAAATATGAATGTGTCTACAGACAACGAAGTTTCTGTTTACGACACGCCTGATACAACATTGGTTATTGATGGATCATTCGACGACTCACTTAATATGAATACATCTCTGATTCAGTCTGAGCAGGGTAAGTGGTCTTCATTTCTTCTCAAAACCAGGCACTTTCTTGTTTCCTTCCCTGCATGTATTTGATCTGAACATATTCCACCTGGTTAAGTCCCTTATTATTGTTGGCGGTGATGTATGATGGTCTTTTCAGGCATACCTCGTCCTAAAAAGCCAGTTAGTATAAACTTAAACAGTTCTGCCGCTGTATCTATTGGTGAAACTTCCCCATTGGGTAACACATCCTTTTCATCAACAAGAAGCCAGGGAACCTTAAGAGATAGTCCTGATGGTGCAAGTAGCTTAGCAGATGGTGAAGACCTTGCAAGTAAGCTTCTATTATAGGCAACTCTGTTGCTGTCCGTTTCAACACATTTCATAGCTCTTTCGTTTCAACTTTGAACTTGATGATGCTTAAACACTCCTATTCTTCCTGTTCCATCTAAGGTGATGTCACAGACATTGGCTCTGATTTGGATACAAGTGTAAGCGATAAACCACCATCAGCATATGTGTCACCAGACAAAGCTGAACTGGATAGTAAAGTCGGTGAGCCTCCCTTATCTTTAAGTCCTCTAAACTGAAAATTAACTTGCTGGCTATATTAGACACTCACCACTGTGACCCCACCAGTTCCAGGAGAGTCTGAGAGTCAGACTTGGAGCACCGTTTCTGAGAGAGATGAGGATTGGTATGATGAATTGACTGGACAAACCTTCCCTCACACTGTTGCCCGACTTCCATTACTAACACCTAATGGTGCTGAAGTATACCTTATTGGTACAATTCACTTCAGTTCCAAGAGTTGTGATGATGTCTCCCAGGTGACTTAATGGTTTCAGACAATGTTGTGTAGTTCTGTTTTGTGATCCTGTCCTAACTTTACACTCTGTCCTAGGTTATTCAAGCTGTACGCCCCAATATTGTATTTGTGGAACTTTGTGCATCACGTTATTTTTACCTAAAATTAGATGAAGCCACATTATTGGAAGAGACAAAGAATTTAAATTGGGGCAAAGTTAAGCATCTTATTCAAACTAATGGCGTATTGGGAGGCCTTCTTTTTGCCTTTCTTCACAGCACCTCTGCTCAGATTGCTGAACAAGTCGGTACAGCCCCAGGCCTTGAATTCAGGCGGGCAGCAACCGAGGTAAAACGTTTTTAGTATTTTATGGGATACAACCTTTTCATAACACTTAAAATGACTCAACTTACACCATTTTTTTCTGCTCCTTTAGGCTGCCAAAGTTTCAGGTTGCATTATCCACTTAGGTGACAGACCCCTGGAGGTCACTTTGCGGCGAGTTATTGCCTCTTTGTCATGGTGGGACTTAATAAAGTTGGTGTTTAGCTTGCTGACTGATAATCAATCGATTACTAAAGAAGACATAGAGAAAATGAAAAATCATGGCATGCTTGATGACCTCCTTGATGAAATAGCTGAAAAGCTACCCGCTGTAAGACATGTCTTCCTGGATGAGCGTGATACATACATGGCCCACTCTCTGCAGCTGGCAGCAATGCAACAGCAAATTGATGGAAGGAGTGAGTTCTAATTTATCTTAAAGGAATGGACTTTGTTTTCACAACACTGAGCACATGAACCATGTAACACATTTTATTTTATTTTTATCAGATAATCCTCTTCCTTGGCGGGTGGTAGGAGTTGTTGGTATTGGTCACATGAAAGGCATAATTGAAAAATGGGGCAAAGTATCATCTCAAGAAGTGATCCCCATATCAATGTAAGTGATCAATGACCATTCATCATCACTTCATCAGAGTTTGGGTATTCCTTCACCAATGTATCTTCTATCCTTTTTCTAGTGTTCCGAAACCATCAATAGCAACTCGTGTTTTGAGATTCACTGTCTCTGCCTCATTTTGGGGCTTGGTTATCTATGGCGTAACACGCATTGGTCCTATCCGGCGGAATCTTCCCACTGTAAGTGGAGTAGTGGCTCTTGCATCATCAGCGACTAACTACATTCGCCGCTAATTTAGGTGAGACCAAGTTCATTTTCTAATATTATTGTGGAAGCAAGATTGTGCCTGGTTTCTTGATAATACATCCATACATCTATCACTTTTTTAACTTTGATTGTTTTTTTTAACATGTGTCTTTTAGGTCTGAATTGATTCATCTTTGAACTTGATCAAGTGGAGCCTCTTCTCCTGTAACAACTCAAAACTCCATAGAAGTTCACTCCTCATTTTATCTTGACTTTTGTGATTTTTTTTTAAGTTAAGATGTTTTAAGAAAATTGTCCCTTTTTTCCTATTGTTTTACTGTCTTCATTTGTTGCTGTTAGCCGTCTTTATAATTTAGTAGATCCTTATTCACTCTCTTAATTAACTGATAAATTGTTTCAAGTGCCAAATGTGATAAGTGTATTGGCAACATTCCTGTGCCCCTCCTTTGATGTGTTCATAATGGATTTGACTGATGATGATTGTGTTTTGGTGGATGAGTATGATCATGTTCTTCCTCATCTTGTATATGCACCCACATCTGTCCCCGGCAAAGGTGCCAACATAGAAGAGTTTGAAAGCCAACTGCAAGGCTGTAAATGTTATGGGGATGATGTATGTGCATTGTCTTCGTCTTGTACAAATGCTCATGTCTGTTCTCAGAATTACTCATCGGATGGAACAATTCTGGCTCACAAGTGGGTTTCTGGGAGCATTGTAGAATGTAACTCTCAGTGTACTTGTTCTGTAAAGAAATGTGGCAACAGAGTGGTTCAATTTGGGCCAAGGAAAAATTTGTCAGTTTTTATGACTGGCCCAGAAAAAGGATATGGTCTGAAGACAACAGAGCTCATTCCAAAGGGAGAATTTATTTGTGAATATGCTGGAGAAGTAATAGGGATGGATGAAGCTAAGATAAGGTTCAAAGCTGCATCCATGAAAGGGGAAATGAACTATATTTTTGTCTTGAGAGAATTTGTTGACTCTGAAAAGAAAACTGTAACTGAAACAATAATTGATCCTTCAGTAATTGGCAACATAGGGAGATATATAAACCACAGTTGCAACCCCAATGCGGGTATTGTTCCAGTTCGAGTAGATTCTCCTGTGCCTGTACTTGGAATATTTGCAAGAAGGAACATAAGTGCAGGTGATGAAATTACTTATGATTATTCTGGAAGCTATAACATGCTTTCTGATGTAAGTAGTGTAAACAGCTTTAGCAGTAAACCTTGTCGCTGTGGTTCTCAAGACTGCTCTGGCTCATTGCCATTTGACACAAGCCTTGTGTAGCCTTCAAATTGTTGAATATTTCTTTTTATGAAATTTTGCATGTTGTTAATTTTGTTTGATTTTCTTTTTAATATTTTCATCTTGAGTAGTGGGTTTGGTTGTGTTTAGAAAAAGTGCCTAATGTACCATTTGGTGGGAAAAGAACTTTTTTAAAAAGTCCTTGCACACAAGTCTTTATTTGCTTGAAGCTATTTTTTTGTTTTCCTTTCTTTCTTTCTTTTCTTGAAATAGAATGGCACTAACCATTAAACAACTAATTTAGTCTGACAGATTATGCTCCATAATGTCTAGCATCATGTACTGTTTTATGATATTCATCTCATACTTAGACTTCATTGGGGAAGAAATGAGGTTCTTAAAGATCCTTGCCCCATTCATTGTTTGTATTTGTTGAATTTGACTATTCCAATTTTAGTAAACAAAGCTTTTGCTTAAAAAATACAATTGTTTAATTTTCTTTTCATTACCCTTACACCTTCCCTTCTGTTCCGCTCCCACTATTTTATACAACAAAAACTAAAAATAATACAAAACATGCCCTAAACAGGCCTTGTACAGACAAGAGATCACACATACTTAAAATCATAACTTAAAATTTATCACAGTTCATCTTTTAAAATGTTGGTGTTTTTGGACTTGGAGGGAAGTTCATTAGACGCACATCTGAAGCCAAGATTGCCAGCAGCACTATCTGGTGTGTTTTGGCTTCTAGCTGCACACCGATATCGGAAGCAGTAACTTTTATGGCACATATAGGAACCACCTTTTTTCACCTTATCTTCTCCAGCCTCAGGTCCAACCTAGAGAAAAAAGAGGGGTTAGCATGATTTCTATTTCAAAATTTTTTTCAAACATGAAAAATGAAAAGTCATTTTCACAAGATTTTAGTTGATAGTTACTGGGTTCTCTTGGAGGTATGATGGGTGTTTGATAGACCACCAGTCAGAGGTCCACTCCCACACATTGCCCACCATGTTCTTCAGTCCGAAAGCATTTGCGGGGAATGTTGTCACAGGAGCAGTGGATTTGTAGCCATCCTCTTCAGTGTCTTCCTCCGGAAACTTCCCTTGCCAAATGTTCATCCTAGAAAGTTAAATTTAAAAATATAATTTAAAAGAGCAATATAACAAAAATCTATTGATTATGTTACAAATACGCAGTTAAAAAATATAGTGTCACCATACCAATGCTCGCCTCGTGGGTTCAGATTATTTCCCCATGGATAGAGACGGTTTTCAAGTCCACTGCGACAGGCATACTCCCACTCAGCTTCAGTGGGTAAGCGTTTGCCTGCCCACTTGCAGTATGCAACTGCATCATTCCAAGACACATGAACAACTGGATGGTCCATTCGACCTGTCACAAAATGCACTATATACTGACGAGTTTCCTTGGAGCAATGCCCAGTGACCCAGTAAAGAGGGGGCAGCTGTTTCTGAATTTCAAAGTCTCAGTACCTTTTAAATTGCTGTCGGGGCCTTCTGGATGCCGCCAGTCTGCTCCTTTAACTGGGACCCACCATGGAGCGGCAGCCACAGCTTGTGTAAGTGTTTTACGAGTTTCCTCGCTCAGTAAGGGATCAAATACAAATGAGTCGCCATAACTTTCAGCCTCCGTTTTGTGCTTGGTTTCATTACAGAAAATTTCAAACTCTGCATTACTAACTTCATGAATATCGAGATAAAATTCTTGAAGCTTGACTTTGCGTGAGGGGCCTTCCCCATCAGCCACAAACACAGGCTTATCGGTACCCATGGTAAACTCACCACCTTTAATTAAAACCATATCATTGGTACGGGGATACTCGGATTCAACAAATGCATCCCTGGGCTGGGGCACAGCCTTATTTGACTCGCCCCCATTCATAATCTCCTCCAACGTTGTGACAGTCTTCTCCAGAGGTGTCAGCGAGTCTTTATCCTTGGCTTTCCTCTTCAGGGCCCCACAGCCACAGGGCGTCTCTTTAGAGGTTAAGTCGCAGGTGTCTTGCGCTACAACGCATAACAGCGCGAAGGCCATCAAACCCACAGGACAAGTTCGTTGGGCAACCATTTTCACCCAGATTCGATTCAATCAATTCGCTTCACGGGTTGTTTCGCTGTGTTTGCGCTGTCGGTGAAACGTCGCCGTGGCAATGTAAACAAACGCGGCCCAGGCGACTGGAAACTGGAAGTGCCTGGAGTGTGACTGGAGCGGACGTCTGATCGCTGGAAGAGGGTCACGGCCTTAAAGGTGCCTCGCAGGCGCCGGCGCCTGTCAATCTCAACAGCTGACTGACTTTGGCGCCGCCTGCCGCCACCCACCTCCTCTTGCCTCCTCTCCCCCTCTGTTGTTATTATTGCCTAACTTTCAGGAGCCAATCCCGTGTCATCGCGGAACGGCGGAAAAATTCCCTCATCTCTGCAGAACCTTCTTCCTCGTGGAGGCATGTGACAAGTTTTGACGCTCATCTGTGTTCCTTCTTCAAACAGTTTATCGCGCTTCTAAATGGGTCTAAATGGTTCTAAAATTGTCGAAAAACATTCATATTGGCCCGAGAGAAATTCGGAAGGAAGTGTCAGCACTGCAAGGGACTTCCTCCTTCCTCCCTGCCTCCCCCCCTCCACCCCCTCCACCCCGTCAAGGACCCTCGGATTGTTCTTTCGGCGGTCGCATAGCGCGTCTTTCAACAATTATTGCCACGAGTAACGCTCGCGCCGCCTCTGAGGAACTGCATTTAGCCGAGTCTTACAATTTGTAACCCTGCGTTTGTCCCCACGAAGGCGGCACCGCAGCACGAAGGGCAGTTCACGATGCCTGTCACGTACGTTGAGGTTAAAAGGGAAGACTGTCAAAAATATGCCAACTGTGAACAAGCGGCTCATTGCATGGTATACTCTCGACTCCCTGATATGAAGTTTTTGGAAACATATGAACTAAAGGCAGCAGTGCTGGTTGGTGAATTTCATAATTTAATGGTTTAACAGCATCATAGTTTGACAACTGTCTTAATGTCATTCTGTCCCTTTCAGATGCAGATGAGATTTGATGGCCATGTCGGCTTTCCTGGGGGACTAATTGAGGACGGAGAAGAGCCAATACATGGTCTCATCAGAGAGATGGACGAAGAAATTAATTTCCTCCCTCAAAAGGATGAGGTTTGTGAAAATAGTGTGGTTTGCTGCTGAGAGTATTTTTTCACCTCTATTTTTTTTAAAAATGGTATTCATTTTTATTTTAGGTAAATGAAATAAGCCATGTTGGTTCATATTGGAATTCATCTGAGAAAATACTGCTCCATTTCTATGCTTTGGAAGTGTCTCAAAGCAGAATCAGAGAGATTGAACGGAAAGCCCTTGAGGCTCATGACTATGGTGGGGAAGTTAGTATCCACAACGTTTTCCAGTTTCTAAGTAGTATACCTATGTTACTTATACTCATGATTTTTTTTTTCTTGCAATACTTCAAGGTGATGGGCACATTCCGGGTGCCGCTGTACACAATGCATGATGGTGTCAGAGGGTTCCCCACATTCCTAAAAAATTCTTTTATTGGTAACGCTTGTCAAGAATTGAAAGCTGGACTTTTGCATGCTGCAATACTGAGCAAAGAGGAAATTGGAGCAGCTGAAGCTGTTGTGATTTCTAGCTCAAAGCTTTCATGAGTGTGTCTGTGATATGGCATACGAGATTAGCGGTTGCTAGTTCTCATCGTGATAGTGATTCTGTGATTCAAATTTGTTTATTTCCAGTTTACAAAATGACTTAATATTCCAATAAAAAACAATGGATTTATTTTGAATTTATTCTTTACTCCGTGCCCCCAAAAAAAGAAAGGAAAATAAAAATAAAACAGAAACATAGGTATTAAAATAGTATTTTATTAAATTTTACAGCTAAGCACAGGTACAAAGTTTGTAATGAGTGAATCTCCTTGCTCTTCTCTTATGGTTTAATTTTCAGTCGGCCACCAATGAAATGATTGTCATGGATCATGGATCTATGCTAAACCAATGGTCATCGTCTACTTAAAATAACTTTAACCTTAAGAGTAATCAATAATCCTACATGCAAGCATAAAAGCCACACAAGAAGGCCTGTGACATCAGTCCAGTAGTTTGAATGTAGCATCCCAACGTCTTCGAGTATTTTTGATGGCCTCCTCCAATGGCAGTATGGAATGGCGCAGTTCATAGGCTTTCGATCCATGCCATAAATGGCCACCGCCAGGCCCTCAAATCCGTATCTGAAGTTTGACACGTACGAGAGCCATCGTAAGAGGGACGGGATGTCTGGTATGTGGAGGAAAAAGCCCGAAAATAAGACGAGCGGAATGGTCGAGGCCGGTACGAAGAAGACGGCTAGCTGGAAAACAAAATGAACGAGAAAATAGGGTTTGAAGGTGAAAAATGCGCGGGAGGGATGGGAAACTCAGACTAACCTGCATCCCCATGGCAGCACCAAACAGCAGGCCGTAGGCGTGTGCCGTGAACACGATGAGCACGCACACGAACCACACCAGGACGGGACGCAAGTCCTGCGTGGGCTGGTCCGTCATGTAGTACGCCACCAGCACGAACACAGTCGGATTCACTATCTGAAAGAGAGACCACGGTTCAGATACATCTCATCCCCATGTTTCTTCATCAACCGAAGACGCAAGCCAGGCTGGAGGGAATGTATGCCCCGCATTGCCTATCTTGGTGCGGCGCGGGCACCCTTGGCGCCTGCGAGGTAGGCAGTCCCGTTAAGCAGGGGCGCGTCGCGGGCTTGCCTACCCAGCACGGCTCCCTGCGCTCCTGCGAGGTAGGCAGTCCCGTTGAACCGGGGAGCGTCGCGGGCTTGCCTACCCAGCACGGCGCTCTGAGCTCCAGGGGCTCCAGCGTGCAGCAACCACGCTGCAACTTTGTTGCACTTGAGATTTGGGTGGCTTTACGGCACGTATCGGAGCTGGCGAAGCGACGCTGCTAGGCGACGGTACCGCCGTTGTCATGCACAGATTAAGATAGCCGTCGGCCGCGGCCAATCAACCACGTAACTCGCCATCTAAGTGGATCGCACTTTTAGGAAGAATTATCAGGGCGATGGCACTGACAGTGCAGGCATCACGCCCCGCGAAACGAAAGGCTTACCAGGTACGGGAAGTCGGCCAACACTTTGGACAAGTAGTACGCCGGCATGGAGTACCAATTGTTGGAGTACTCTCGGAAAAATACTGCTGCTTCAAGAGGGACTGCAACAAACCGGAGAGCGCATCGCATTTTCAACAGTGTCTCTGGCAGTCGGTGCGCGGTACCTTGGGCGGTACTACGCGGCGTGGTGTGGCCAAACCGCACGGTGGCGTCGCGTCTTACATGTCAACACAGTTGGCAGGGCGTTGGAGAAGAAGAGGAAGAGGACGAAGAAGAAGATGCAGGCCACGTTGCCCGATATCTTGGACGCCTCGTTGCCGACGTCCTGGTAGAGGAAGCCGAGGATCAGCCCCACGATCAGGTGGACGGCCAGCCTCAGCCAGGCCATGTTCTGGAACAGAGACGGCGAGGCTTGGACGCGGCGCGCCGGGCGAAGAAAACAACGAGGAAAGAGCACGTCGTGCACGTGCGGATGCGTACCATGTCTCGCCAGGACACGACGAGGGAGCGCTTGAACAGCACCGCGAACTGCACCCAGAAGGACACGGGGTAGCCGCTGCAGCAGGGCGGCGCGGCCCCCTCCACGTCCAGGGCGACGCCGCGGGGCCTCACGAGGGCGTCCGCCTCGCCGGCCTCCCCGCTCCGGACGTCCTCGACGGCCTCCAGGGCGGGCTGCACGTCCGCGTCGATGGCCTTGTACAGCGCGTCCATCTCGGTGCCGTGTTCGCCGCTCGCCACCTCCACCACTGTAACACGGCAAGGCGGGCGGTGAGGCTTGCGGACACTGGAATGCCTCTCATTTGCGTGGCGCTAGAACCTTGCCCCTCACCGTAGTCGGCGATGTTGTAGAACGTCGGGCAGGTGAAGCCGGCCGCGCTGAAGGTGGACGCCGCCTCGGACACGGCCCCGCAGTACAGGGAGCGGCCGCCGCCCAGCACGATGACGTCGTCGAAGAGCCGGAAGAGGCGGCTGGACGGCTGGTGCAGCACCACGGCCACGGTGCGGCCTTCCAGCGCCAGCGTGCGCAGGTGCGACACCACCTGCAGCGACGACACCGAGTCCAGGCCGCTGCGGGACCGAGCGCGGAGCGGAGTTGGAGGGTTAGATGGGCGTGGCGGCGTGGCACAGTAATGCACAGTGGGCCAGAACACCGGCGCAGGCGGCCGAAAAAAAAGGACGCGTTTTGAACTCCAGTCGCTCCAGGGCTTGAACCGAACGTGTGACCCCACCAATGGATTCCTCGTTCGGAGAGCAACCCATTGGTGGGGTCGCACGTTCGGTTCGAGTCCTGTTCAGCGACTCTAGAGCTCAAAACGCGTCGAGAGTTTTGGCCGCCGGCGCCGGTCTTCTGGCCCACTGCGGTGCCGCAGTTTCGCGCTTCACCTGGTGGGCTCGTCGAAGAACATGATGGGAGGGTTGGTGACGAGCTCGATGCCGATGGACAGGCGCTTCTTCTCGCCGCCGGAGAGGTGCGCGACGGACGTGTCCAAGCACGCCTCCAGCCCCAGGGTGCGCGCGATGTCAGCCACCTGCAACTTGGCCTTGCTGTAGGAGTCGGCGACCCTGGGACACCCTGGAGCACCGCACAGTGGACCAGAAGACCGGTGGAGGCGGACAAAATTCTAGACGCGTTTTGAGCTCCAGAGTGGCTGAATGAACCCGAATCGAACGTGTGACCCCACCCATGAATTGCTCCCTGAATGAGGAATCCATTGGTGCGGTCACACGTTCGGTTTGAGTCCCATTTAGTGACTCTGGTGCTCAGAAAGCGTCTACAATTTTGGCCACCTCCACCGGAGGTGGAGCACCCACTGTGCTCCGCGGCGCGGTCTACGCACCACGTCGTCGCGCTGCTGGCACGAGTGCTTGTTGGAGGGCAGCTTGAGGTCCGCGGCGATGCGCAGCGTCTCCCTGGCGGTGAGCGCGTTCAGCAGGGACATCTCCTGGGCGATGAGCACGCAGTAGTTGCGGTAGGACGCGGGGCTGCGCTCCTCGCCGTTAACCAGCACGCGGCCCTGCACGCCCGCCGCCCTGCACAGCGATCAACTACTGAACCGCCATGACTGCTGCAGCAGACTGACCGTCCGCCCCGCGGTGCACTTCGGCGACGATAACGCCGAGCCGCGGCCATGGACCTCATGGACCACATGGACGCGCGCTTACCTTTGCCCGGTCAGGATGCTGAGGCAGGACGTCTTGCCCGTGCCCGACGGCCCCAGGATGGCGGTGAGGCGGCCCGGCCGCAGGCAGCCCCGCACGTCCTTCAGAATCTCCCGGGGCCCGCTGCCTGCGAGCAAGACCGGCTTCAGTTTGAGGTGCCCTGCCCTCCACAGGTGCCCCATAAGTGTGACATATGGAACTTTCCATTCATCTGGAATGTCCCACATGACCTGCCCCCACTCTCCGGAACCTGGTCCTCACCACCTACCGCTCTTCTTCTCCGGGACGACGTAGCTGATCTTGAAGTCCAGCCTCAGCCTCAGCGACTGGTCCCGCGCCACGCCGTTGCCGTTGACGCCGTGGCCGTTGGCGCCCTGGCTCGGGGTGACCGTCGCCGCCGGGGCCATTTCCAACAGCGCGCCCCCGCGCGGCGACATGCTCGCCGTCCCCGCCGAGGCCGTCTCACTGACGGTCGGGTCAGACGACAAGACGCGCGAACTGCAGCGCCAGCCGCCGGTTCACTCTCCTGCAAGAGACAAGCACCGAGACCGTGTCAAGGATGGCCGCGGCAAGGGTAAGTGATAGCGAGCTAGTGAGTTATCGCTGCGAGTAGCTGCAACCTACTACGGGAGCGAGTTTCCCCGTCATCGAATTTGGCATTTGCATCCGTAGTTTGGTTATCTGGCGGCACCGGGCAGTGCAGCTTGACGGAGCCTCTACAGCGTACTGAGCTTTGCGCCGAGAGCCAAGGGCCAAGGCCGTCGAGCGAGCTCGGTCCGCGGCGATGCGGCGGCTCGTCTGGCCTGGGCTGGCCCCGCACCGCGCCCGCGCGCCGCGCGTCGCCAAGTAGAGGCAGAGCCGCCTAGGCGAGATGTGCGTCCCGTCCCGTCGCGCACGGCCTCGTCCCCGCGAGGCACCACACCGCAAAGCACCGCCACGCGACGAGCACCTCACCGTCCGCATGCCAAGACGCACGCATCACCCGCAGTTTGTTGTATTCAGTGACGGAGACGCGGGTTATCGCCGAGCTTCTGTTGTGCCGCCAGCCGGCCAGCCGGCCCGCCGGTCCGGCTGCATCTGTTTGGCCAGATAAACGCGGGCCCCAGTGAGCCGGCCGCCGCGCCGCCGCGTCGTCGCCATGTTCACGGCCGCGGACGCACACGCACACCTCGCCGTCGAACTCACCTGTCACCAGCGCGGAGCCGCGCGCGCCCCCGGTGCCCCACGAAAGCCGCCACACGCACTTTCTTTTCTCCAGCCGTGGCAGGGAAGGGCGTTACGGGCGCGGCGCGGGGCTGAACCTGGCCGCCGACAACACCAGCACTGGACTGGACGCGCGTCTCGGGCCTCGGGCCAGGCTCGCCGGGCCGCCGCGCCGGGCACCATCAGTTGCAGCCGCTCAAGTGGTCGGGCGCGGTGCGAGGCCCGCGGGGCGCGCGGCGGAAGGGACGGCGGCGGGGGCCCAGGCCGCCCGGCCCGGACGGCGGCGGCCGCGGCGCGGTGGCCCCCTCTCCCAACGCCCGTCTCTTCGAGCAGCGCAGCGCGCTCTTCGCGGACGGTCAACGAACCACGCGGGCGTCGTGCAAAATTAAAGCATGGGTCGGAAAGTGCATAAGCTCCAGCAGGGGGCTGGAGGGGGTGTGGGCCGCGCCTTGCCGCCTTGGTCGCGGAGGGAGGGGCCGTGGCGCCCGCTGCGCCCGCGGAACCGGTCGCGTTGGCGCCGGTTGGCGCGGTGCATCTCGGCGGCAGGCGCTAGTTCCCGGTTGCGGTGTTACGTTGCTGTGATGTCATGAACGCGGCTCATGCCCGGCTTGGCGGGCGCCGCTTTCTACCGCCTGCTGGAGAACGATCGCACCGCCGCCGGATGGAGGATTGAGGCTCCACGGCGGCACGGCCTCGGTGACGACGCGCGCGTTGTCCTGGCCGTGTCCCTGATTGGCCGAAAGCGCAGCCGTCACTGCGCCCACGCGGCGGCCCGAGCGTTGCCAGCACGCCGATCCCCAACACTTCTTTCGTCGCCCTGTCTCTCTCGCACCCTGCGGGACGCCCCACGAGCGCGAGAGAGACAGAGCGACGGAGCACTTGTTTGGACTACTCTACAGATAGTTGGGAGTGGCGCGCTCGCTCGCGCTCGGCCTGCCAATCTCTGCCCGCCAGCCGTCAGGTTCATGTCTCGAGAGCGTGCCGCCGCCGGCCCGCCGTGTCACCGCATCGCACCGCGTGCACATTGTGATGTCCGTGCTCCACGCCAGCACCAGGAGCGTCAGGAGCCAGGACGCCAGGCCGCTGCCAGATTTGCGAGTGAGATTAGCCTGCATGTCCAGCGGACGGATTCCTGCCATAGGCGGCCATAGGCAACTCGCCTTCCTGCCGCCATCGCACAGTGGGTTAGATGACCGGTGGAGGCGGCCAAAAACTCCAGGACGCCTTTTGAGCTCCAGAGGCGCTGAATGGAACTCGAACCGAACGTGTGACCCCGCCAATGGATTCCTCGTTCGGAGAGCAATCCATTGGTGGGGTCACACGTTCGGTTCGAGTCCTGTTTGGCGACTCTGGAGCTCGAAACGCGTCTGGAGCTTTGGCCGCCTCCACCGGTCTTCTGGCAAATCCACTGTGCGTCCAGCCGCGCAGAATCAGTGAGCTTGCTCCGGCCAAGGCCCCTCCAAGCCTCCAAGGCGCCAAGGCCCATCCCACGTGACCTCGCCGCCTTCCGCAAGGGCACCCTCGCGTCCCCGTTCGTCGACCTCCTCGCTCATCGCGGTGCTGCGGGACGCCCTCTTGGATCGGGCGGCCGGGCCGGGCGCGTGCGTCGTTGTCTCGAGTCAGTGTACAACACGCCAGTGCCACCGCGACCGCGCCTCTCTGCTTTTGCCTTTTTCTTTGCTGCTGTTTGCAGAACCCGAACCGACCCGGCCCGACCAGCCTGGCTTGGGATAGACTGGAGCCCAGCGGAGCCGCCCAAGGACGTCCTGTCCTGTGCGTCCGATGTCCGATCCGAACTCGGATCCGAAGGAGAGTTCGAAAAAAGACGATAATTGGGGTGGGGACACTAGATTGGCAAGCTGCGCTCATGCTGTGCTGCAGCGGCGTTGGCTAATCTGTTTACGATTTTCTTGGAGCCTGACAGGAGCGCGACCGCAGAGCGCCGTGGGGAATGCCGCCATCGTCATCCTCCAACGACGCGAGGCTCGCTAGGGATGCTGAGGCTGAGGGTGGCGTGGGCTGTGTGGGTGGAGGCGGTCAAACTCCAGGAAGTGTTTTGAGCTCCAGAGTCACTAAATGGGACTCGAACCGAACGCGCGACCCCACCAATGGATTGCTCTCCGAACGAGGAATCCATTAGTGGGGTCACACTCTCGGTTCGAGTCCTGTTGGCGGCTCTGGAGCTCAAAACGCGTCTAGTCTAGAGTTTTGGCCGCCGGCGCCGGTCTTCTGACAGATCCACTGTGCGGTGGGGCCGGGACTCGAACCACAAGGCAGCTCCAATAGTATCATCATGTGTTCGAGTCGTGTCCTGAGCAAGCACTGCAGAGCTCCAACTTACACTGTGTCCAGTGTCGTGTCCGCCTACACGGGCCGCCTCCTCGGCGCGCCGCACTGCGCGTGTGTCGCGTCACTTTGGCCGTAATCTGCCGCCAACTGTTTCCGAAGAGTGGTTTCGTCGCTCTGTCTCCGTCGCACCCATGAGAGACACAGAAAACGAAGCGATTCTTAGGAATCGCTCGGCGAGTCTGCACCATCAGCCTCGGCCAGGCCTCAGCCTGCCTGGCTGCGGCAAAACGAAAAACGACGCAGCGAAAGCCGGCAGGCCGTGACGTGACGTCACGTGACGTGACCTGGGCTGATCCGGCAGGAAGACACGGAATCGCACGGAATATTCGTTGGACGACGTCAAAGGGTGTCATTGGGGGACTCTGGGAACTCGGAAGAAAACAAGTCAGACTTCATCTGGCACTTAACAATATTTATAACAATACTTAAATTTCTCTCTAAATATCGCTTTATACATGATTGTTGTAACAATACTTATAATAATACTTTACAGTAAACTCTCAGTTGACACATTAGTTGGTATAACAAACCAAACCTGCAGTTTATTTTTAAAAATATGTAAACTAGTCAGGCAAATCTGGAATCGTACAAAAAGTGGTGTACTTCAGCGGCTGGCATATAAATTGATTTATTTTGGCTGAAATGTAAGACACCCCCATCCTGGAGTCCTACTCAATAGTACTTTTGTCTTCGTGCTAACAAACATCTTTGGTTTGGGAATGAACAAACTTAAGAATATTACCTCGTGCGCGTCGCTACGCGGACAGTCGGACAGCGCGCGCACGACTTCAACACATTAAGGCAGCATCGTTAAATACAAAAATACACATATCTCTCATGTCCAACACGGCGCGCTTCAGCTACCGAGTAAGTATCACAATAAAAGTAAGGAAATTACAAAACGAAAACAAGTTTGGCACGCGCGGAAAGCCGCGGCACGTGCGCCAACCTGTACGGCACAAAAAAAGAACAAAAAACAAAAAGAAACAACACAACAGCACCTCCAGAAGACTAGGTGACCGCCACGCGCGATGAGGAGTGAGAGCGAGACACTGGGCGCGCCAGGCATTAGGCCGCGAGATCCTTCAGAAAAAGCAAGCGCGTCGTGTTGTCGGCACTGTCTGTCTTAAAAACTACACTCGTCCGATCCTCTTCGCGCGCCGTCCAACACGCGCGCGGGAAGACGACAAGGCGATTCGGCACAAGCTAGCACAGCCAAGGTATCCACTAACTTACAAATAATTTGATCCGATGCAAAATGGGTCCGCTCTCTTTGATGCAAAGAAAGGGAGCCGAGAAATGATATGGGAGGCAGGGACTTCCCTCTGGGAGAGGCCTTCCTGCAGGCTGATTCCGAGCACCGCTCTCGCCGCTCTGTCCCTCTCGCACTCCTGGGGCGTCCCGTGGGGCGGCGAGAGAGTCAGCGCCGAAAGCAGGGCTCGGAATGAGGCTGCTGGTCTTTGCTCCGCCACCGTGAGGGCCGTCACCATGGCACGGGGGGACAGCGTCCTCAGGCGGCGCGGCGCGAGAAGCTCACTGCCGGAACTGGCGCAGCCGGAGCTTGAGCACGAAGTAGGCGGCCAGCCGGAGCGCCGAGCCGATCACGAAGAGCACGACGGCGTCCAGCCAGTAGTTGCCGCCGTCCAGGTTGGTCTCCGCCAGGAACTTCTCCGGCCGCTTGAAGTGGCAGTAGTCGTCGGAGCACTGCGACAGCGGCGCGCGCCCGTAGCCGTACACCGCCAGCATGCAGCCCGACAGGCCGTACTTGAGGTAGGACGCGTGGAACAGCCACTGCATGTAGCTGGGCGCGTCCTTCATCAGCACGAAGTAGCCCGAGAAGATGGTGAAGGGCAGGATGGCCAGCGGCCCGAACACCACGCCGTGCTGCGGGCAGAAGAGCGAGGGTCAAGACGGCGGTCAGGACAAGGTCCGAAGCAGAGGGACTTCGGATGTCGTCGCACAGTGAATTTGCCAGAAGACCCGCGCAGTCACTGAACAGCACTCGAACCGAACGTGCGACCCCACCAATGGATTCCTCGTTCGGAGAGCTATCTATTGGTGGGATTACTCGTTCGGTTTCAGGCCAATTTAGCGACACTGGCGCTCAAAACGAGTCTGGAATTTTGACGGGGACACTCACCTCGACCTTCATGGCGGCGCCCACCACCAGCCCGATGCTCTGCGCCGTGTACGAGACGAGGGCGCAGATGAGCAGGTACTGGATGAAGCGGGCGGGCTCCAGGGGCTGCGACGTCATGTAGTACATGATGACGGTGTACACGCACGTGCACAGCCCCTGCAGCGGCACGTCCGCGATGGTCACGGCCAGGAAGTACGACTTGAGCGAGTACCAGCGGTTGAAGTGCTCCCTCGCTATGATGGGCATCTCCAGGGGGACTGCAACACGACAAAATGGCCAGGGGGAAATAAGAGAATGTGAACGTGGCCGTGTGGCCGGCCTGGCGTCGAACGCGAACCGTCCTGCGGCAAGTCAGGGCGGCAGCGGCAGCCCGCCCGGTGCGTAGGCAGCCCACCTTCCCGTGAGACGCGTCCCGGTTCCAAGCCGAGTTCGCTGGGTTGCCTGCCCTCCAGGCGGGCCGGGTCCAAGCCGAGCCCGATGGGTTGCCTGCCCTCCAGGCGACCGGCTGCTCCCCGGTGACACGGACAAAGGAAGCCGCGGCGCCGCGGCTCAAGGCTGCCGCGCTGCTGTGCGTCCACTGTGCGTCAGCGGATCCCGTTTGCAGCGACTGTACTCACAGGCAAGGATCATGGCGGAGAAGGCGGTGAACATGAGGAACATGAGGGAGAAGAAGAGCAGGCTGAAGTTGTGGAAGACGTGCGCCGCGTCGCCGCCGATGTCCAGGAACAGCGCGCCGATGAGGAGGCCGGCCACCAGGTGGATGTAGAACCGGGAGTGGCACAGCATCTGCAACAAAGAACGTGCCGCGTCACTCGGAGGTCGCCGTCGCACAGTGGGTTAGGAGAAGACCGGGGCGGACAAAACTCTAGACGCGATTTCAGCTCCTTGGTCGCTAAAAAGGACTCGAACCGAACGTGTGACCCCACCAATGGAATCCTCGTTCTGAGAGCAATCGATGGCTGGGACTACACGTTCGGTTTGAGTCCCATTTAGCGACACTGGAGCTCAAAACCCCGAGTCCGGGGATTTTGCACGCCTCCACTGGTCTTCTGACCACCCACAGAGCGTCGGCTGCCCTTCGGGCCCTTCGTCGCCGAGCCTCACCCGGTCGCGCAGCCCGCGCTTGATGGTGCGCCTGATGAGCATGTACAGCTGCATCCAGAAGGTGGTGGGGTACACTTGGTTGAAGCGGCCCCTGCGGCACCGGCCTCGGCCTCCCTCGGACGGCGTCACGGAGGCCGAAGCCGTCTCGCTGCTCTGCCTGGACATCCTGGACACCGTGCTCTCGCAGTCGGCGTCGCCTGCCCGGCCCGCGCCCCGCCGCGCCAGGCCCAGCGCCCCCTCGGCCGAGTGCGTGTTGCTGGTGTGCCCCCACAGCTGGCTGCGCCCGTTGTCGCTGGCCTGCACCAGCGCGGCGGTGTGGTCGCCGTAGTCGCCGCTGGTCACCTCGAGCGCTGCGATCGGAGGGCGGAAGCTTGCATGAATTAGCGCGGGGAAGGCCACGCCACTGCAGCGCAGTGTCAGCCAAGTCGGCCAAAACTCTAGACGCGTTTAGAACTCCAGAGTCGCGAAAGAGGACTCAAACTGAGCGTGTGACCCTACCAATGGATTCCTTGTTCGGAGAGCAATCCATGGATGGGGTCAAACGATCGGTTCGAGACCCATTTGGCGACTCTGGAGCTCAAAACGCGTTCGGGATTCTGACCGCCTCCAGCGGTCTTCTGGCTGGCCCACTGTGGCAGGGTCGCTGCCGAGACTCACCGAAGTCCGCGGGGTTGTGGTAGGGCGGGCAGCGCAGCCCCAGGCTGGCCAGGTAGGGCAGCAGGTTGGCGGTGTGGCCGTTGTAGGCGCAGCGGCCGTCCATCAGCAGGTACAGCTGGTCCAGCAGCCCGAACACCAAGGCGGAGGGTGTGTGGATGGTGCACACCACGGTGCGGCCCTGGCGCGCCAGCCGTCGCAGCACGCCCACGCACTGCTTCGTGGTGGACGAGTCCAAACCGCTGCGAAAAAAAGATAGCAATGAGCACACAATCAATGAGAGAATGTGAGAGCGCTTCCAAGCTTGTGGCGGCGTGCCTGGCGTGGACCGCGGTTCCCTGAGGTGTTGCAACTCACCTGGTGGGCTCGTCGAAGAACATGATCGGAGGGTTGCTGAGCAGCTCCAGGGCCGTGGCGAGCCGCTTGAGCTGCCCGCCGGACAAGCTGGCCGTCATGGTGTCGATGTGGCTGAGCAGTCCTAGGGACTCGAGGGTCTCAACGATCTTCGGAAACAGGTAACACGGACAGGCTATCAGAGTGCTGCTCACTCGGCCGCTCGGCTTGCACCACTTGCACCGAGAGCGACAGCGTCGTCGCACAGTCTTCTTGCAAATCCACTGTGCGTCGCCTCGACTTACCGTCTTCTGGACCTCGGGCCCGCGCCGGCCCAGCTTGAGGACGGCGGCCACGTTCATGGCCTCCTTGACGGTGAGCTGCGGGTGCAGCGCCGCGTCCTGCTGGATGTAGACGCTTTGCCGCTGGAACGTCCGCGTGTCGCGAGGCGCCCCGTTGACGAGCAGGCGGCCGCGCACCCCCCAGCACCTGCGAGCCGAACAAGGGCAAGGGCGTGGTGAGTCACGGCGGAGGCACCCTTCCCGGACATGCCGCCCTCTCTGTCTCTCTCGCACCTGCACTGTACGGGTCGCGAGTACGACAGAGACAGAGCGACTTCTCGGAATCAGCCTGCAGCAGCAGGAAGCTGTTGCAGGGAAGTACCTCCCCACCCCGCCCCCTCCTTTTCGCCTCGTCCTGCTGGTCGACAAGACCGCTGCCAGGCTGCACGCTCGTGCAATGCACCGGCGCTCGGGTGGAGCCGAGCGAGCCGAGCGCCTAGCCGACGAGCCGAGGTGGCCAGCCGAACGCCAGGACTCGTGCACTCTTCGGCTTCGGCTCCGTCCTGCATTCCCTGTTCCCTGCTCTACGTACGCGGTGCTCTGGCTCCGCGGTTCACTGTGGCTGGCCTTTGTAGCCGGCCCGAGGGGGTATGCAGTCTCAAAACCTGTAACCCGACTATTACGCTATTACGCTCTCACGCCTCGGGATTTTGATAAAAACACCCCCACAACCCCAAAAATAGATAAAAATAGGAGAATTTCGGATATCACGCCTCTATTACGCGTACTATTAATTACGCTTGCTTGACGCTTTCAACAATTAAATAGAAGCATAGCCCTAAGACCGATAACCGGTATGAGGCCGCCGGTTATCGGTGCTGCCAGTTCCAAGCCAAGGCCGATAATCTGGCCGCAGGTGTCCGTCAGGGCACCGCACAAGTGCCTACTTTTCCCACTTTTTCGTCTGCAGTACGTGGACTGATTCTGCGAGTCGTTTTCGTTCGCCCTGTCTCTCTCACACTTATGGGGCGTCCCGCATGGATGCGAGGAAGACAGAGGGACGAAAACGACTCTCGGAATCACTCGAGAGTGTCGGTGACGTCACATCAGACGGAGAATGCATCGGCCGGCCGCCGCGACACGTGCACACGTGCAAGATAGGGCCTGGCCGGGGGAGGCGGCCGACGGACCGGGTTGGCGTCGGCGGCGCGCCGGGGCGGGGGGTTGTGCGGTGCGTTCCTGTCCTTCCTATCCACAGCGTCGGTGACGCAAACCGCGGACTGTGACGCGCTGACGCGCTCACCGTGACGCGTACCGCCGCGCTGGACGCGGAGTGACGGAAGGGAAGAGTGGTCTGGCGGCAGACGGCGCGGCGCGCGGCCAGTTCGGCCGTCCCCCTTTGTGCTAAGTATCGAACGCCGAGCTTAACACGGAGCAAAACCAGCACAACAAGCTTATCTCATCAGCGCCCCGTCCGGGCCGTCCGCCGAAGCCGCTCCGGGCTTCCCTGTGCCGGCCGCCGACTCCCGCCAAACACACGGCCGGAGAATCGCTCTGTCTCTCTCACACTCGCCGGGCGTCCCGCAAGGGTGCGAGCGAGACAGCGTGACAAGCGGTGCTCGGAATCGCCTGCTGGTGCCGCTACCTTCCCCGTGTCGTCCTCGTCGTCGTCGTCGCCGTCGTCCTCGTGGCGAAAGGACGCGGCTCGCTCAGCTCGACGCTCTTCACTTTGCCGCCGGCCGCCACTCGCGCCCCGCCTCGCGCTTATTGGTCTGCGGGGCGCGGGGCCCCATAGGCGCGGCCGGCCTGCCACTACACTGCAGCGCGCTGCAACGCACCGGCCAGTGAGCGGAGCAGCGGAGCCATCATGCCTCGGCGTGGATAAAGGACCTTGCAGATGGCCGATTCCGAACAGCGCGCTTTTGTCGCTCCGTCTCCCCCGCTCTCGGCCGGAGCCCCGCTGCTGCGCGAGAGAGACAGAGCGACGAGGCCAGACGAGGCGTTCGGCATCAGCCTCTGTGCCCCTCCCCCTCCCTCCGCGCCAGCAGTGCAGCAGTCTGGTGGCGGTCAGCCTCAAGCCTCGACCGTCGGCCAGCCCGGCCTCAAGCCTCGCAGCAGCGAGCCGAGCCCTGTCTTTCTCGCACTGACTATGTACTGCGGGCGACAGAGACAGAGCGACGACAGCCCAGAGCCACAGCCTGCACAGAACGCAATCTGAGATGCCTCCGCCGGGGCACCGTCGTTTGGTATCACTGATATTCTGGCACTTCTTCACTTCCGTCCCGGCCGGCGTGGGCGGGAGGCACACCACAAAGTTTGGCACGCGCTGCACGCCGAGTTGCAACTTCTATACCCCGCGGCTTATCGAGGCGGCCGTGCTGGCCGAGTCGGTCGGGCTGTGCCGCTGTGCCGTGCCGATAGTTCCGTGCTCGCTCGCTCGCAGGTGTCGCTCGAGTCGAGCGTCGCGCCGCGCGTCGCCAGCGTCGCCAGCGTCGCCAGACCGACCCTCAGATAGTGCGTTCCGCGACCCATTTCGAAAGCGGATCTCCCGCACTCATGGCGCGTCCAGACAGGGTGTAGGGAGACAGACCGAGAGCGCGATCGCCTAGGCGAGGAGCGCGGCGCTTTTTGGAGGCGTGCGGATCTGGCCGGCCCGCCACGTGTTTGCCGCGAGATAGACAGAGATAGAGAGCGATAAAGGGAGGGAAAGAGAGAGAGAGAGAGAGACTCACGTGTAGCCGGACAGCACGTCTAGCAGGGTGGACTTGCCGGCGCCCGACGGGCCCATGATGGCGGTGAGCTGGCCCGCGCGGAACTCGCCGGAGACGCCGTGCAGGATGCGCCGGGCTTCTGCAACCATCACAACAAAGAGGACACGGTGGATTAGAACAGTGGTCCCACCAAACAGTCGCACGCACAAGTAGGTCAGGCCCTTCTGGAAGCGTACAACTATACGCTTCGTGGCAATTCCCCCACCCCGTCCATGCATTTAGAAGGAAAGGAACACGAATGGGCTCTTGCACGCTTTACGAAGGACGTCATGTTTTGCCGTAGATTTACCGGTGAGTGAGGGGTGAATTTCAGGCCCCTTTTCAGGGAGAGCGCTGAGATAAAAGCCCGTAACGAACGTTATCTGCCCGGGAGCACACCACATGGGTTTCCACACTCAGAGTGCTCTGAAAAAACGAGGTATCACAGCTGCGACTACTCTACGACTCATCGGCGTACGCCCGGGTTCGAAGTGCTTTGCTGCTGAGCGCGACAAATATGGACACCTTTCCCTGTTCGTTTACACTATCTTTTTGAGCAGGCGTCCGAGACCGAACACCTGCTTGTCGGCGGGTTGAGGTATTACATCTTTCAGTTTGTGACAGCTGCTGCTGGCATGCCCCTCACTCCCTGCGGGGCTCGGCTCGGATCAGCCCAACTGCATAGGCTTATTTCGAACGGCGTTATGTCGCTGTCGCTCTCTCTCTCTCTCTCTCTCTCTCTCTCTCTCTCTCTCTCTCTCTCTCTCTCTCTCTCTCTCGTACCCCAACTGGATGGACACCCCTTGAGTGCGAGAGAGACAGAGCGACGCAACCGCGATTGTGCGGAATCCGAGGGGTACCTCACTTCGTCTAGTCAGTGTACACCCCTGACTCCAGTCACTGCCTTGTTTCAGTCTAGTCACTGAAAAAGTCGGCAAAACCACGTAAATTTGTCCCAATTTTAGTATTTTTGCAACGCATTTCGTGATATTTTCAGTCTAGTCAAAGTGGAAATTGAGTATAGTCACCAGTCAGTGTACACCTGTTTTCGAAGTGAGGTACCCCTCGGCGGAATCGCTGGCCTGAATGGCCGGAAGAATGATTCCGAGAGTCGTCTTCGTCGCTCTGTCTCTCTCGCACCTGTAGGGGACTCCTGTGAGTGCGAGAGAGACAGAGCGAAGAAAACCTCGGAATCAGTCTGCAGACCACTCCATTCGAGCACGCGGCCGGTCGCGGCACTGTACTCCCCATTGGCCCTTAATCCCGGAGAGCTTAGCCATCTCTGCTCCTCAGGTGCGAACGCGAAGGCGTCACTGACCCCGCCAATCGTCCTGCAAAAACACAGCGCTGTGACTCACCCACCACCCGCGGACTAATTCCGGGCCGTCGTTTTCGTTTGTGGCACTCATGGCACTTGTCCCGCTAGAGACCAAACGACTTTCCGGAATCGCTCGGTTGCGCTGCCGACTGATGCCGAGGGTCGTTCTCGTCGCTCTGTCTCTCTCGCACCTAGACGGGACGCCCCATGAGTGTGAGAGAGACAGAACGACGACTATCTCAAGCAGTCTGCTGCGCCTCCCCCGTTCAATCGGTTCCATCGCCAACCATCCCGCAGGCCGCGGAGGCGCGAGCGCGTCACGGAGTCACAGGAGTGCTAAACGGTCTAAACGCGAACAAGAGATATTCCAATCCAGTCCGGAGTTGAGGTCGTCCAATTCCGTTTTTTCTCGGCTCTCTGCGGCTCTCTGCGGCTCTCTGGCTCCCGACGGTAGAGACTCGGCATCGGCGTGCTCGACGCGCCGCCCCAGAAATAAACAGCCAGCGGGCGGCTAGCTCTAGCGAGTAGCGAGTGTAGAGGTCACTGCCCGCCACGCCGGTCCGCCACTCCGCAGCCGCGCGGCCGCAGGACGCGAGCGGCAGAGCAAATATCGCCCGGCACTTTCATTCGCGGCGAGAGGGACAGAGCGACGAGAACAATGTTCGCCATCGGCTCCAGAAATAGGCAGCCCACGAGAGGCGGCAGACAGACAACTGGTCGGAGACGGTGTGCGTTTACAATTTACACGCGCCGAGCGGCGTCCTCGGGGTGTTCCCCTCGCCTCGACGCGCCGGCCTCCCCCTTCCACCCCTTCCGCCACCCCAGCAACAAGTCACGTGGTGCGACGTGGGGCCCGGTCGGGGTGGCCGGAGGCCTTGGCGGAGGCCTCGGCGGAGGCCGCGCAGGGAAAGCCTAGGGAAGGCGCGCGGATCGTGCTAGCTGCTCTGGGAAGTCGGGAAGCTGGAGGCAGCCTACCCCGCGGCCGGGGCGTGGCGGGGTGGGGCGGGGCGCGGACGCAAACCGCCTAGGGACGCGAACCGGTTGGGACCAGTTCCTGGATCCTCGCTGGAGCACTTCGCCCAGGCGAGGGACCAGGCGCCCGCGGTGGCTCTGGTGGGCACGTGTGAGGTGCGTGTGCGGCGGTGCGCGGCCCGTGGCGTGGCGAAGACCAAGACTCCCGAGATGACAAAGGCAGGCGGGCCCTGCACGGCCGGCGGTGCAGCACGCCTTACTCATCGGCCTCCCATCGCGTCACCCTCTCGAGCCCGGGGCTCGATTACCTACAACCAGACCAGCTGACGCTGCCAAGAGTTTCGTCGCTGTCTCTCTTGCACCCCCTAGGCGACGCCCCTTGAGTGCGACTGAGACAGAGCGACGAGACGACTCATCGGAGACGACTCGCTCGGCAGGCCCTCAAGGCGGCTGTCAGCGTGCTGCCATGGCAGTGCCATGGAGACGAGGCAGGCTGCGCGGCCAGCCTGTTTCTGTCTCTCTCGCACTCACGCGCGTTCTGTGGGGGTGCGGGAGAGCCGCGCGGTGGCGGCACGGCCGAGTGACACGGCGCAGGGCAGCATCATCTCACCGCCCCCGCGGCCATTGTCCACTTTGCCCTGTTTGCGCTTGCTGGCTTGCCCCTGCTTGCTGCGCGATAACCGCCAGGGCCAGGAAGTGCCGAGGAGGCGAAGCCGTCCGTCCTGGAGCGCTGGCTGATGCCTGGCTGACACCGAGGCCAAGGCCGCCGGGGCGCGCGAGGGAAAGGACAAAGGAGAGGACAAAGGGAAGTCCCGGCCGGCTAGACGCCACTGCGTGCACTGCGTGCCACTGCCAGGACACTACACTGATTGACACTCACCTCTCCGCAGCCGCACGCGCGTGTGCACCGTGTATCTGATGTTCTCGAAGGCTAGGTTGACGGGCTCGTCCACGGCGGACTTGACGCCCCAGCCGTCCGGGTCGTCCACGCCGTCGTCGCCGGGCTGGGGCGTGCAGGGCAGGGTCATGAGATCGCGGTCCTCGGCCTCCGCGATGGAGGGCGCCGGCGCGGACCCTCCCGAGGAGGACGCCGTGTCCACGCCGGACGACGACGGGCAGGTGCCAGAGGCGCACGCCGTCCAGGCGCACGAGGACGGCGTCATGTCCAGCACGGTGGACGAGTCGCTGGGGCTGCAGCGGCCCGAGTCCGAGCCGGCGGTGGGGCAGGCCGTGCGGCAGGACGTGGCGGCCACCCTGCTGCAGAGGGCGGCGTCGCCGAGGGACTCGGTGGAGGCGAGAGGCGCGTTCTTGGGCACGACGGTGGGGTTGTACACGCGGCTCTCGCGGAAGTCGCGTCTCAGGGGACGGCGCAGGGGGTCGGCCACCACCGCGGTCGACGCCATGGCTAGCCCGGCTCCGCTGGGTTCCGGCTGGGCTCGGCGCGACGCTGCTCCGCTCGTGTGGTCTGCACGCACGCTGCACGCTGCTACCCGCCCGACGCGGCCACCATGCCGCGGCACCGCGATGTGAGGCTCACGGCGGCCCTGCGCGCACTGGCGGCGGCGGCGCGACGCGCGGCGCGCGGTGCGAGGCGGTGGGGCGGACGCGGGCGGCCGCGGCGGCGTGGCGGCGTGGTGCCTGCGGGGCGGTGAGGAGAGGACTGCGGCTGCAGCGCCGCCGCCCGCCCCGCTCTGCGCACCGCGACGCCCTCCCTCCCCCCTCGCGACGCCCCCCCCCCGCCCCTCCCCGACTAGCTCTAGCCGCGATCCGGGCGAGGCGAACAAAGAGATGCGGGTCATCGCGTCGTCGGTTGGGATGCGAGTGATCCTGGACCGCGCAAACCGCGCAAACCGCCCGGCCGACTGCCCCACAACGACAAAGAGGCCTCACCGTACGCCTGTGGCGTCAGAAAAACTGCAGCTGGGTTCAGTCAGAGTTTCGGCGCTCTGTCTCTCTCGCACCTCTACGGAACGCCCCATGAGGGCGAGAGAGACAGAGCGACGAAACGTCTGGTGCTCTACAGTCCTGTGAACTTTCGTGATGCAACGGCCTCGGCACTCTTTTCATTCTCCAAGTGAGGCAGCTGGGCTTTAATCTACTATCGATGAGCGTGTTGGAGTGGCGGAGCAGGCGGAGCGAATTCGCCTCGAGTGCCGCGAGAATGCGGGGGCCGGTAGCCAGGCCTGTAGCCAGCTTGGAGTGCGCGCACGAGACATGTCAAAACGACAGTGTCAGATTGTCAGGCCCTGTGCCGACTATCGACCTACCCTTCTTCATTTTCTATATTGGGTCTTTCTTTGTCCTTACCTTCGATTTGCTGTCATTCCCTTGACGACAACGGCACTGGCCTTGTTTGCGTTCAATCGGCCCTTCGGCAATCAGCGGCCTTGCTTTGCTGCTTTGCCTTCGCCTCGGCCAAATGGAATAAGCCTCAATTCGGCAGGAGGAGATTCGGGCCGCTTGTCTTCCTGGTGGACTCACGTGACAAACTTGCTCGCACAGTGGGCCGGAAGACCGGTGAAGGCGGTCAAAATCCCGGATGGGTTTTGAGCTTCAGAGTCGCTAACTGGACCTCGAACCGTACGTGTGACCCCACCAATGGATTCCTCTCCGTACGAGAAATCCATTGGTGGGGGTCACACGCTTGGTTCGAGTCATTTAGCAACTGGAACAAGTGGAGCTCAAAACGCGTTTAGAGTTTTTACCGCCTGCGCCTGTGCCTCGTCGAACACAGGGATGGTCGGGTCGGCCTCCCCGAGCAGCCCCTAGGAAATGTCTTACATTGTTCAATGTGCCGATGCGAGGGGTGACCCACTGTCAAATTTTATGTACCAGGTGTACCAAAAACCCCGTGTCAAAAGAAGAGGTACGGAACCCGCATGTAGCCGTGCGGGCGGGCTTGCCTATGCCGCGCTCGGTGGGCCAGAGGCGGTCTAGGTTGCCGTTCGTCACTAACGCGCCGCTGACGGGTGACAAGCGCGTCCTGGGGCCCTGCCCGCGCCCCCGAGACTTCCACCGGCCAGATGGTGAATGTCGGCTCGGGCTGGCCGAGCTCGGCCGCGCTCTCCGTGAGGCTTCGTCACCCGATTCGCGCGTTAGTGACCCTGACGCGCAGCCCTGACCTGCCGTCTGGCCACCGAGTCAGCGGCACTGGCTGACTGATGCCCGCCCGGCATCGGCTAGCATGCGGAGGTTCGCGTCCCTTGCTTTGTACACGGAATGGTTCGATCATGGGTACCCTGGTAATGATTGGTGAACGTCAAGAACATGGTTGCTACAGAGTTACTGCTCGCGTTCGTTTGCCACCAGCGATTGCCTACTTGCAGGACGTTTGTGCACACGCTGCAGTATGTGCGAATGGACGCTCAAAACCGTTGTTGTACACTGAAGCTGTGCGCTGTTCCCCCCTCGTGCCGATGCCAGTCGATCCTATTCCAGCTGGCTCGAACCAGCTCGCTGGTGCAGGGCGAGGCCAGGCCGCTCCGCAGTGCAGCAGGCAGCAGCGAGTGCGTGCCGCCGGGTGCTCGTGCACCGGGCCGGGCGCCACGCCCCGCCACGCCGCGGCCTGAGGTACACGAGCACCCGGTGACTCGACACGGACCCGCGTCATCACGCCCAAAAGAAGACAGCAACCAAAGTCGCGTGCCGTGACGCGCGCCGATCCTTCCCCGCGTCGATTCCAACAACTGAGATTCACCCTGGATCCCGGCAGATCTGCGTGACTTCGGACCTCGGCGGCTCCCGGCCGCGCGCGAACGCGGGGAAGGCCCACCAGGCCCGCATCCGCGAGAGGAGGCCCTGGACTCGCGTCAGCCTGACCTGGGTCCGTCGGCCAGCCGTGAGTAGAGTACCGTGAGTCACCCTGGGTGACTGATGCCGCACACGGCATCGACTGCTGGCGCGACGTCCGCGTCCCTTAGTGATAATGGTAAGGAAATGGCATACGATCATGTGTGGTCTAGCCCTCATGGTAATGGTAATGGTAAGGACCGTCCCGTCACACTCGGAAGCATTGCGGTTGCCTACCCTCACGGGGCTCCCAGCGGGCTGCTTCGCGTTCGCTTCTGCGTCATCCCAGCGAGCCGATTCAGAACGGTGTTTTGTCTCTCTCGCACCCACGGGCCGGCCCGTGCGAGTACGCTCGGGTGCGAGAGAGACATACCACGAAACCGTTGTTCGGAATCAGCCTGGCGGCCTCGTGTGGACTTCGTGGACTTCGCCCCGTATCAGTGATCCGACCGCCAAACTCCCACGCCCAGAAGGAAATGATGTGCGAAGGAGCGGAGCGGCCACGCTGCGCATACAGAAGCCGCCGACGGCACTCGAGAGCACCGATCAGGTTCCTGTCTCTCGAAATTCTGTCGCGAAAGCTTTATCGATCCAAAGTGACGCTACGTGCTTCGGCCCGCGGTCCTTGATGGGGCGAGGCGAGTGGGGCTCCGAGGGACGGGCCAGCCAGCAGTTCGCGTTTCGCACAGAGCCAAGCCCCGCTAGCTTCGCCGCTTCGCTCGGTGCGGCAGCACTCGGCTGCGGGTACACTCGCACCCAACGACCTCAGCTCACCTCCCGCCCCGCCCCTCCCCAGGCGTCGTGAGTAGCGCCCCTCCATCCCCCGTGTCCCCTCGGTCCCCTCCCCTCTCCCCTGGGGCCTGGGCAGGCCTCGGGCATCGAGCTAGCACGCTGCTAGGCCCCTCTCTTTGTTGACGTCGAGTGCTCGTGCACCCGTTGGCCGAGTCCGGGCAGGGCGGCCGCGCCAGCGGGGTCTTCCCCTTCCCCTCCGCTCCCGGCGGCCCGTCCAGCCACCCACGCGCAGGCCGCCCCCGATGCCAGGGGCTGCTGGAGGCTGCAGACGGATTCCGAGAGCCGTTCCCGTCGCTCTGTCACCCTCGCACCCATACGGGACACCCCATGAGTGCGAGAGAGACAGAGCGACGAAAACGACTCTTGGAATCAGTCTGCTGGAGTCGAAGAGGGTGGCCTGGGCGGGGCGGGCTCGGTCCTGCGCCGGGGACCGCGGCCTGGGGTAGGCAAGACCGAGCGAGGGGTATGCCAAGCCGAGGCCAGCCGGGGCCGCCACTGCATCGTGAGCTCTGCGGACTGATTCCGAGAGTCGTTTTCGTCGCGCAGTATCTCTCGCACTCATGGGACGTCCCGAATAGGTGCGAAGCGAAAAAGACTCTCGGAATCAGTGAACTGGCCGGCCACCCTCTCGCCATGCTGCGGTAGAGAAATAAAACACGATTTCCATTTCAAAACTGTCGTTTGTAGATTTTTATTTCACATAAAAAATCATGCAGAGGACTATTTACAATAAGCACTTTGGAAGTCAATGGTGGAGATTGATACGGAAAACATGAGTAACCATGAGGCTGAAGAATTTGAAAGCAATGATTAAGCCATATTTATACACAAGGCTACTGTCAACTTCATTATGACCTTAGGGAGAGTACACTCAAACAATAATGGTGTCTCTAACAAGAATTTTGTAAAAAAGATGCACGAACCATGATTGTCTCAAATGTCCATCATATAAAATAACAAGAAAAAAAAAATTAAAAACAACAACTGCAGTGAATTTGGGGTCCTTCTCTCGTCACTGATAGTATAAACTCTAACTGTGGTGCGTCAGCACAATCAGATAAAATTCACGCTCGTCCAAGACCCTGTCAAGTTTGTAAATAACATATAAAAAACCATTTCTAAACAATTAAAAGAAGTATAGTCAAGCGTCACCAATCAAAACCATTATAGAGGTAAACTCGAATGCGCAGTGTTGAATGACAGGTACATGATGCAAGTGCTGTAGGAATGATCAATGGAAAATTCTGATGACCTCTTGACCACACATGGAGGAGCTTCAAGGGAGGCCTTGTTTTCGTTGCAAATAGCTTTAAAGTTTTGCCAAAATTCTTTGGAATCTTGAGCTTCAAAATCTAAAATAAAACATGAATAGATTAGGATTCTTTTTGATGGGAGGGTAAAGGTCAATTTAAACAAAATACTTACTTGGCAAAACATTCAACCCTATTTCTCCTCTACCAAGAAGCCGATCACTGGGGACTTAGGGAACACCTTTTTTATGATACTTGATTCAACATCTTGTTCTCCATCATACCACATATAGCCTCGACCCAAACATGTGAACATGAAGCACAATGCTCTATCACACGGCAAGTTGCAGTTTTTAATCTGAAAAGAATTAATACTTTAAAGAATTTCTATTGGAATGTAAAGTACATCATGGAAGAAAAAACAGTCATAAAAAAATTACCTTGGAGACTTGTTCTATTACTGCATCTTTCTCAGTGAATGTATCATTAATTACCAATGATGCTGCGCATACATCATCCCCAAGAATCACCAAACCTTCGAGTGAATCAGCTTTTTCTCCAAAACCACCAGCCACAGCAAATCTATGCTCCTGCCTTTATGAGGGAGGGCAGGTAAAAAGGGTAGGTAACATCCAGTTGCCAAATACTAGAAACACAACCAATGCTTTCATGAAAGATTAATTACCTTGCTTGCAAATGAGCTACAAACAATGAAAGTTCATCAGAACGGAATCTGTAGCCACTAAGCATTACAACAGCTTGAATGAGCATATCACAGGGCAATCCCAACTTTTTTGCTAAGCTTTTTTCTTCCGGTTCTTCTTGCTGCACCAATATATCAATTAAGCATTGTTTTTAACAAAATCAAACACAGGTTAATAATATCAAAAGTACAGTACCCGATAAAATTTCAGAAGTTCTTGTTTTTTTAAACTAAAACTTATAATTTTGGCACCTGGACAGTCAGGAAACAAAGCAGCACTCATAGATTGAACTTTGCTCTCTGAAAGAAAAAAAAAAAAAAAAGGTCTTAGAAAGGCAAATTGAAATTGGCCAACAGTTGTACAACATTTTTCAGACAATTACTGCTTATGTTTTCAACTTCAAATGTTGACTTCAGGTCCAACGAAGTTCCAATAATCCCACTCACGGGGAATGACATCAATTGACACTTTGGACCCAATGCTAACGACATGTATGATTCTCCTACAAAAGAGGAATTTCAAGAATGAATTGAATAGAATCATGTGGTGGAATGTGGTTGAAAGTAAACCAGGAATTATGGTCATACTTGCGTGCATCTTTCCACAACGTTTGGTATCCTTCGTCTTTGGGCACAAAATTCCAGAAGAGGAGCACTCAAATGATTTAATGGCTGTTTTAGTAAAAAATGCAACACATATTGTTGGCTGTGAAAAGACATGCTCACGTATGGAAGAGTAAATAGCCAAAGGAGGGGGTACATTCCAGCCGCCACTGTTAGCTCTCCAAAATAACCAGTGGAACTGGTGCCGAGAATCTCGAACAACTCGTGCTGCAGACTGCCATGATCTGATAAAAGAGAAGATAGCGATGACAATTGAATGCCTCCCTTCAAAACTTTCAAAGGAAAGAATTACAAACCATTGAAAACAAAACAAAAATTTCCTCACTACTTACTTAGACACCTGTGCAGCTTTTCTCAAATCATAAGCAGAGAGGTTGCTTAGCACTCTTAACAGGACTTCATATTGAGAACTTAAATAATCACCAAGTTTGGTTGCATTGTCCTGTAACATATATATGTGTCAATACAAAAATAATATTTAAAAATTGTTAGCTTAAGGGTAACTTTCCCTTACATCTTCGTGTTCTTGGCCTTCCCAAACAGGTAAGACAACAGATCTGTCTTCAGCTACATGTTTACTTTCTCCATGTCCCAGGTCAGGATCAGAATTCTTCCGTTTGATACGCGACGGGCCTGGTGATTGATTGGCGTCATCAGACATTTTTGTCCTGACGTTCAGAGCAAAACGAATCTGTAAATTAGGAGATAAGAGGACTTCAAATAAGAATAAACAGTGATTTTTGTTTTGGAAAAAAGAAGAAGCAAATAGGTTTAAATGGATGAAGATGCATGAAGAACGGGTTTGGTTGACCTACCGACTTATTCTTAAAAATCCAATCCGTATCGATGGGAGAGTGGCGAGGTCAAGGTTTATCAGCAGAAGAGGTCTAGGGATAAGGAACAGGAGGTAGTTCAGCTCCCAATACAGCCAATTTATACACCAACAAAGAATACTGCTATGTAATGAAGAAGCGTTAATGCTACACCAACATGATAAACAACTCCTTCAAGAGTGTGCATTAGGTGACAACGAAATTCGTGGCTAAAATATCCAAAGATAACTTGAAAGGGACTGAAAGAGCCCTCAATAACACTCCCAACAGCAACAAACACAACGGAGACACTGTAAAATTTCAGCAACCGGATAGCAGCAGCCGAAATTGTCACACGAATGAAAACAAATTATTCGCAGAATATACACACGGCCTTCTGCTGGTCACATAATTATTTGACCAAAATCGACCAGATTGTTTTCTATGTATGTAGCCTCTAAATTTACTCTCACTGTAGAGTAATCCATAGTTGGGTATGTATTTAATTGTTAATCACATAGAAGCTCAGAAATAAATCCGAGAGAAGGTAGAAAATTGGTCACAGCAACCCTCCGCGAGCGCCACCTGGTGGAGACGACAGGAACTTGAAAGACAAGCAGTTTTCTTCAGCGTTCGCTTGCCGTATCCGTCAACAAAGAATAAACGTCGCAGACTTCACAAAAATCAACATAAACTCTAGTTTTGCTTAAGAAAGGTTTGTAATTGTGTTTCAGTCTGTAGATAAGTCTCTTCCGCGACTTTTGCTGCCTGTTCTGAGCCGGGATCGCTACGGGTTTTCGAAATCCCGCACCGAATATTCCTTTATTTACTCGACTGAATAAGAACAACAAGTTACCAAGGGACTGTACTAAAGTGGAATTTTCACAAGTACAATCAGTGATTTGTCATCATGGCATCATATGTTTCTGCTCGACATTCTGCGCCTATTGTCCATCAGCTCTTCAGTCTTGATATTTCTCTCTGCTTCACCCAACCGAGTGTCCGAGGCCAATAACCGGTGGGCAGGCGGCTCTGTGCTCTGCAGTGCTCTGTATTCCTTGCTGTGTTCCCCTTTGATTGGAATGCCTGCGTTTTCAGCCTTTTCTCTTTACCCGCCCCTTTATTATGACGTTACCAAGGCAGAGCACTCCCGTCATGTGGGTTTCTGGGTGGGGGTGGTGTTTCAATCCCTGGTTTGTGGCCTGTTCCTGCATATGGCCTGGTTGTTTATTTTGCTATAATTCAAAGTTGAGTCTCCCATTATGTAAACTTCAAGTAAAGTAAAATTACATGATGTAATTTTATGTACTTTCGGAATGAAGTGAGCATATTATTAGTTTCTGTTCACTCTTAAAGATACTTTTCTATGGTCTGAGGGTAATAAAGAAAACTATTTTTAATGAGGACCAGTGATCATTGAATACAAAATTTTCTATTACTTTTATTGTCAGTTTCACTGATACCTGTTTTTTTCATGGTTTTCAGGCTTACTACAAAGTCCATTAGACATCTGTACTACTGTTCAATATGAACGACCGCTTGAGTCCTCACAGTGATCAAAATGATGATGCATCGTCATCTTCTCCAACCATCGCCATACCAAATCTCTCTTTTGGTATTGGACCTTATGGTATGTTTTTTCTCCTTTGCTGTTGCATTATCTGTGTGAGATGGTAAAAACTGAACTCATTGCTTTTGTATGTTGAACAGGATTACCTCAAGGCAAGGCACTTCTAGGCAGCAGCCCTTCCGCCGTGGCTATGCTCTACCCTCAGATCTCTGCTTATGAAATTCACCCTCTTATCATTAATCAACGCCGTCGGTCATCATTAGACAAATCAGGGTTAGACTCTGATTTGACAGGATCAAGTGATGATTCTGGGCCTTTGGGTCTTGTTTCAAGTCATTCTCTTGGAAGCTCTCCCACTCCTCTGCCTCTCAGTCTGAGACATCTGTACAGGGTGAGCTGGAGCTCATGTCAAACTTAGTCTTTATTATGTATGTCCTTGCTTTGCACTTCATTTTCTATATTTTTCTTGCAGGAAATATCTGTTGCACAGAAACAGCGAAATGTTAGGAGAAGAGCTCAAGTCAGAGATCCGGTTGAACTAAATCCTGATGATTCTGATGATTTGTACTCAGGAAGTGACATTGCTGGCAATAGTCAACCAGATTCAGAGGCATCAGATTATTCATCTAAAACTCGAAAATCATTTTTCTGCCGAGCATGTGGTAAATCTTTTAAATTTCAAACTTCACTTCTCCGTCACAACAATAAGGTGAGTGAGTCAAGATGTTTTGTTAATGTATCCTTTCATGCAGTTTTCACAAATTATTTGTTTGTCTGCTTTTTCTGTTTTTTTTGTTATTGTTTTTTTTTCACCTCCAGGTGCACATCAGTAAATATCAATGTTCAACTTGCAAACGCGTATTTTCTCGACAAGCTTACCTAGATGTGCATACATCAAAACCTGGAAGCACCTGCTACATCAGTCCTTACACTTTGCCATCACCAGGAAGAGCTCAAAACTCCAGTCTGCCTCTCAGCATGGGCATTATTTAAAGGAAACAGATTTCAAAGGTGTCAAAATTTAGTTGTCCCTCATTGTTTTAAAAAGGTTATCTTGAGGGGGTGGGGTGTAGTGGAGCAACTTAAAATTCAGTGGAAGACTTGGCCTCTTCTCTTCTTTCTCTTTTCTGTTTATAAAATGAAAAACTAGAAAAAAAATAGTAATAATTATGTCACTGTTACCCATAATTTTTGTTGCTGTATATTCTCTATGACTGGATCATATTAAAATATATGGCTGACCACCAGTAATTTGAAAGAAAAAAGCAAACAAACTTGAAGCTGTTTCATAGCTGATTAGTAACTTTTAGGAAAGCTCCAAACTACTTTATATCCCTGGGTTTTTGCTTTGCCCAGTTTCTTTTCTTATGAGGGGATAGATTTGTCAATGTCTACCTATTGGGTTTGGCAACTAATCATGCCTATGTCTATTATAGCTATTCTTTATCTGCTTGTTTTAAAGGTTGTTGTCAGACTTCCTGTTTTATGTTTTAATATTTGAATGTTATTAGGGCATGATCATTCTAGTTCCTTTTTTTTGGCGGGGTGGGGAGGGGAAAGTCAAAATTTGCTCAGTCCAGTCAACTTGTTTTGAGGAATCTCAGTTTGTGTACTTGATTCTGTTTGTGATTGAATGTTATTTGATGTCCAGCCCAGATTATAAAATATGCAGATATAAAGTCTAAAAAAAAAAAGAAAAAAAAAATGAACCTAAAAACTTAAGTATTTTTTGTATGCATTTGCGACTTTCGTGATACTGATAAATATTGTGTGAGACTTACAATTTCTATTGTATTAGGCATGAAGTAATTTGTTATTATTTTTTAGAAACACTGTTATTTGGTTTGTTTGGCCTGGTTATAACAAGTATTTTGATTGTGTAGCTATCTATCAACCTGTGCTCTTCATTTTAAAAAATTATTATTATCTATTCCATGTGTATTTGTGTCTATAAAGAGCAAAATAGCTTTTGCTCACTTCATAGTTAAATGTTTTGCTAGGTACATGTAGTCCTCTTCTTACATTTTGTTTTCAGTGGCATTTTACAGTCAGATTTTGCTTATCTCACTTAAAGTTCTGTAGCTTGCTGAGTTGTGCTAGGTTGGATTAGGATGCTATGTTCCCAAAACCATTAGTACAGACTGACTGACAGTGCAGTGGTGTCTGCTCTGCTTCAGCCCTTATCTCATGTTACTTTTGAGAAAGACAGCACTTAACAGGTTATCAATAGTTCTTTTGTGTGCAGATACTGTTGCTTTCAAATATTCCAACTTGTTTAACTGCTTGCTTTCCACATTTTTGAATTGCCTGTGAAATGAAAATTATTTTTCTAAGTTTCTTATATTTATACTAATTATCTTACGGTAATTTCATTTTAATAATGTAGCTGTAGAAACTTTGGTTCTCACTAGGAGACAGTGGTAATCATGTCTATTCAGTTTTATGAGTAGAATTTTTTCCGTAAGGCATCTCATATATTTATTCTTGCTTTCTTCTTTCCTTACATATAGGCCATGCCAACCATACTACTTGGTTATTTGTCTCACCTGAACTTGATTGTGACCTGAGGATGATTCTTCAGTTGGTTTTGAAGAAAAGCTAATGATGGACTGAAATAGATAGTTATTCGCAGCGTTTGCTGTTTTATCAAATAATTTATAGTTTGGGTTTTGCTTAATGTTGAGAGGAACTGCTTGTTCTGAATGTTGTGAGTGGAGCAGAAGAACTGTGACTGAAAATGTGAAGCAAATCATTCTTTGGGCTGTGATTCTTATCTTTGAACTGTGATACTGTGGGACATGGAAGAAAGTTGCTGGATGCACTATCATTTTTGCAGTAAGGTCTCCAAAGCAAATTTCATCCCTCATCAAAAAATGACTTTTATTTTCCTTCCATGCGAAATAATTGTCTGTTTAATGTCTGCACATCTATTGTGTTTCACAATTTAATACCAGTGTGGTCTTTATTCTGGGTAGTGAGATTAACAGATGGTAACGATACCACTGTGGTGAAATGGGTACAGAAGGAAAACAGATGCTGGTGTTGTTTCTAAGACTTGTATTCCTAATTTAAATTTAAATCTGATTTAATTTTTTATATTTCTTTTCATGATGCTGGCTTAAGAGACATTCAACTTTGTTTATGATTCATAGCAAAATGAACATCTTTGGCTATGATGGTTTCTTTTTTTGTATTGTTTGTTTATTGACCCAGATCATCGTGTAGGGAGTTTCTTTTAATGTGTATTGTGACCAGTTGTCTTGTGCTGTTTGAAGAAGTTGTATCTTGACACCCTTTAGGGTTAACAAGTTCAGGAAGTTTTAGTGAGATTCTGTTTGGTGGCTGATAAGTAAGTCTGGGTGTTGAAGCTTATTGTTTCAATCTAAGATTTTAAGCAGTGAGCACTGTTTCAGCACTTTGAACACTAACATGATCTAAGTTTACAAAGATAAAAGCGAAGATAGGTTGTCTCTCTTGCCTCAACTTTTGCATGATTGTGATGTATTTTAATTGGTGAATGTTATAGGCCTCATTTAATTTTAGGCTTTGCTTTTTTGCACCCAAACCTTTTTGCTCTTACTATGGATAAATGTATGTGGATGTCTTGAAATTAATGTCTGTGTGTTAGTCTTTTGTCATGAAAATGCATCTGGTGTACCCTCTTTATTGATTGTTGTTGTACACGTTTTCTGGTTGATTGTAACTAACTTAGCTGTATTACCAAACTTAAATATTGTAGATTGAATAGTTATATGTTACAGTTATCTGTGTGTCAAGTAATTGCAATCACTAGGGCAATGAGTGTCAGAATGAAATGTTGTATTGCATTTTTGTCTGTGCACCTGGTATCCTTTATCACAGGAAAAGATTGCACAGCTTTAATTCACGTATTATGACATTTGTAAGATTCGTTATGACCAGGTTAAATATTTTATTCTCACTTATCTGTGTGTATATGTGGGTAGGAGCAATTCAATTTGAACCATTGATTGACTTGTTTGTAGTAGTTAAATGTTTTGACATTGCAAAGTTTGCAAATATTATTTAATTCTACAGACCACTAATTTGACTTCAATAGGTATTCAAGATGAGGACCACTCTTATGATTTCCTTGTTTTAAGATTGAAGCTCTTACCCACAGCTCTTCTATTGATAGTGAAATTGAATGTTTTCATTAATTCTAGGTGGAAAGTAATTCTTGCTCTAATTTTCAAATCTTGTACTTTTCTTTATGTATTTGAATTATCTTACTTATTCCATAGAAACCTGACCTGGTGGTTTCTTTTGTTACAGCTCCTGTTAACAGTGTGATATTCTTTGATGCGTGATAACTATCAAAGTTATCATAGCAAAGTACAACATGTATGTGTTGATAATTTATCAGGATTATTTTCAAAAGACTGGTTTAATTGTTGAGAATGATGAGTTAGATAGTACCAACACTTCGGTGGTGTGTAATTTTGGCGAGACCAACTGCTCTCTTGTGCAGAAGGAATCATTTCTTTGCTAACATTTACTACCGAGTGGATGATAAGGGAAAAATTAACATTTGTTGGAGATGGCACCAATTATATTTTTTGTTTAACTGAGTCAAATTATTTCCTTTTTTTTTATTGTTTTAATATTTCTTTCTATGTTTTATCTAGTTAGTATTCAGTGTGTAATTGTTAAATTGTTCTCTTATGGTGACTGGTGTGGAACGTGTTTATCACTGGCATACGTCACTCTCATATGAAAAATTAAATTGATGTACCCTACTGTGTTATTGTTGCGCTTGTGTTTCCAAACTTGTGCATTAACTTATTCATGACTTATCTGAAATTTAAAGTGGAACCTCTTATGTATATTTTTCTACTGTTTCTCACAATCTCTTAATTTACCAAATTAAAAAAAACTATGGAACATGCAAAAACATAATCAAGGTCTCCATCCTCTTGAGTTAAATATTTCACTTCTATTTCAAAGCCTTAAATTATCAATTATGTTTATACTCCACCAACGTAACTGGTTTTCACAAAGAAAAAGACTTTCTCTTCTCTTCTGAGGTGACTTTTTTCCCTCTTCCCTTTCAATCAAATGTGATGTAGCATCTGTGGAAATTTGGGATTGTTTGAATACCAGTTGATCTGCCACTTCGTCCCTAGACTAAGAATTTGGTCCGACCTTAAACTGTGATTAGCACCTATGTTTCTTTCAGTTTATATTCAAATACAGTAGGAATATTAGTGTGATGTAGTCTGTTTCTGTGTTTTTGTCTGCCTGGGAAGGTCCAGTTAGTCTTAGGGGCCTTTCTGGAAGTAAATGTGTATCTAGCATCTCTACTCCAATGTTTGGGAAGCTTGAGAAATATTTAATCTATCTGTATGTCCATTTTTATTTCTGTCTCCTCATGTACAACTATTTACTTGTATACTACTAATAGATGTATTTCGTTAAATGAAGTAGAAATACATCCAGCCTTAGGTTGATAAAACTTTTTTTTGTGGACTACAAGTGCACAGTACTTGTGCTCCACACTATTATGTGTCTGAAAAAAGTGGAAGATGGCATTTATGTTGTGATAAGTAACAAATTAACCTCCAGTTTGAATTATAAAGCCTGATTATTTTGTAGTCTGTTAGAACCTGAACTTCCTTAGAGTTCACCAAAGTGAAAAATAAATTCAAGGAAAACAGAATATGATTCTCAGTTTGTGGAAAAAGAGCCCTCCACCCAGCACACCGCAACTCAACCGCATCTCGACTTAAGGGAGTCAGACTTTGTCAGAGGCAGAAACGATTTGCCAGTGAATCTAGGTGCAAATCAAGCAAATTAGAGTCCTACAGGCCCCTCTAAAGCAAAATTAGAGTCCTAAAGGCCCTAGGACTCTAAGCAAAATTAGAGTCCTAAAGGCCCCAAAGGGCATTAAGGCAGGAGAATTATAAATGCCTTCGGCTCGGGAACGGACGCTGCTGGCGTTCTGACCATGTCGGGAGGAATTTGGAGAAACGAAATACTCAGAATTAAAGGATATGTAAGCAAACATATATTGAGGCGCACTCAGTAGACATTTTTGAGTAAATCGAACCCTTTATCACGGATTAGCCGTTTTAAACCTTAAATGACAAAAAGGAAGCAGCGGCGGGGTCGACTGCAGTGTCTGGCGAAGATCCGCGTCGGGCGCACTGCAGGCCCTTTGTGGGCTCATTGCAGCCTTGTTAGCTCTAGAGGGCAAAAGTTTGGGCTTGGATTAAAGCCAGAGGCTTTTAATGTGACCACGTGCATTTATTTAAAACATTAGGTAGAAATTATTTGCATTCTCCTTACAAGTCGGACTTCTTTAAGCCGTTAGCAGCGGTGACTTCGAATCACGACCATGGTGGAAGGTTGTTGTGCGACTTTGTAAGAGAGTGCAAATATTTCTACCCTAATTTTAAAAAAATCCACATGGGCATAGTTCAAGCCTCTAGCTTTAATCCAAGCCAAGTTTTTGCCTCTCTAAGCTTAACAGGCTGAAAATAAGCCCACAAGCGGCCCTGCATTTAGAGCCCACCTCGGCCTCTATCCCCTGCCTGATTAAGGACTCTAAGCAAAATATTCCGCGGCTTCAATTTCTCATCCCCCATGAAACAAAACAAAAACAAGTAGGAGCAGACGACAGGGACACGACGGACAGGCGTAATCTCGCTCTCGCCGTGTGAAGTTTTAGTGAACAGTTTGGGCTAAAACTTGTTAGTTGTACACAAGGAAACGCAATATTAGCTAATTTGAGTGGCAGCTTCCAAACGAGATGAGGCACCCTCTTTTTATTGCCAGGACCGTTTTGGTTAAAAACGGTGCTGTGGAAGAAGCCATGGGTGTTTTGAATAAGTGAGTTTTACCAAGTACAATTTAGACAAAAAATACCTTAATCTTTATTTTTAAAATTTTAAAGAAAGTGTTTTCATCTTTTTGTAAAACGCACTCTTTGAACATTGTCTATTCTTTGTACAGTGGGGTGTCCTAACCTCCCTTCTTGATTTTGTTTAGTCTCTAGCTTCTGTTAGTCCACATTTCCCTTTTTTTGGATGCTCATAATAATATTTAGTTAATAACTTTTTGTTTGTTTCTCAGCATTATGGCACGTGATGGCTTTTTTGAACAGTATCGACGCACCAGGTTTTATGAGAAACCGACTGAGGTAAGGGCTTAGGATATGATTGTGTCTTTCAGCACGTGTATGAATTTAATTTATGATGTTTGATTAAAATTTGTTTTCCAGATGCGGAGAAGAGTAAACTACACTAAATGCAAGAGCATCTACAATGAAGAGATGTCACGTCGACTGGCCTTTCTTATGCGTGTGAATAGGCCTGACCCTTATCCAGGGTGCTCATGAGTATGTTTACGTTCCTTAGTAATAAAAATGTTTATTTGATATGATCTTAAAAAATGTGTCGATTTCTGCTTAACGCTTTATCTCAGACCCATAGGCCTCTTAACATATTTTCGCATAAGCTATTTTCATGCTACCTAAGATTCAGTACTTTTGATTTGTTAAAATGTGCTGTACTTGAATTCAGGGGCGTAGACGCCTTGGGCAAAAGGCAATGGGCAATGCACCTGGCTTAGGGGAAACAACATTTTGGGCAAAAGAATATAAATTACTCGCTTTGGACTTCAGAACTAAACAAGCCATTTTTACACCATTGTCAAAGACCTTTAGGCGCTGGGCTGCTGTTTCTTAGACCCACAGCAACGTTCCAGGTCAATTTGTGTTTGGAGGCCAAGTGTTATGAATGAATAGTGGCTACAGAGGCTAAGCTTGGCGTTTGGCTAAGCTTGCCCTGGATGAAATATTTTGACATCCATGTATTTAAAGGAAGTCCAGTTCAATTCTGGTCCTTCTAGGAGCGATGCGACGCGGCCGAACCCTCTGCTCTCTGCTCAGTGGGAGGTGGAACGAAACAACAATGTCGCTGGAATGCATATTTATTCCAATCTTATGATATACAATTTTTGATCTGGAAGATACAATAGAAAAACCACGGTAAGAATGTCAACATCACAATAATTTAATCAAGTTGGAAAAGAAAAAAAAATGATGGTAAAAGAGCTCCAACTCTCATTTCAAAATTGCTAGAAGTATCTTGGCCTGAACAGGTGAAGGGGTATTTTCTGAACATGCAATTCATGAAAGACAACCATGATATCAAAAGAAACAACCGTGTGCTTATACTCAATAGAATTGAAGTGAAAAACATATTTTCAAACAGAAAGCTAATAAATATACAAATGGCACATTAACACTTTCCTGGGTTGAACATTGAACACACATTTCTGATAGATGTCTAGCCAACATCAGGGAAGTTAGCAGTCTAGATAGATATTGCAGGGAATTGATTCATTAACTCCACAAGGCACAGTAGTGCTGAATGTAGACCAAAGCATGTCCCAAGTACCTTTCTGTAGACTTCTAAAAAACTTTGACATATTTTTTCTCAAAGTGAAAAGAAAAACAAAACAACAACAAAAACAGAAGGTGTCAGTATATTATCTAGTTCAAATCTTATTTATGGATTCCGTCTATAGGATGCAATATATAAAAATTATGGCTCAAAGTTCACCCATCAAAGGCTTTTCCTAATCTGACAGACAGTGTAAATTTCACAGCACAGGTCTACAATGAAATTTATCTAAAGCTGTGCCTCATTTTAGCAATCATTCTGACTGTTGGATAGACGTCTACTAAAGGGGTTGATGGGGAGGACAATGGCAATGGGTTGTAGACAGTAGATGACCAACAACGTCTACAACCTGCTGTACATTGTTATCCAGGCATACAGCCTAATTTGTTAGAAAAGTAGGAGCTTCTAATGAAACTAAATCTCAAAACTCAATCAAGAAGCTGTCAAAAATATCCAAGATGTTTTCAAAATAAGCTCTAATTTTGAGAAAACTCTCTAATTTGCAGGAATTATAGTTTTTGATCTGAAGGAAAAAATGTAATAATATAGACGTAGAACAGAACTAAAACATCCTATTGAGCATGAATAGAGTAACATGAATTGTTTCACACACAGATATTTTAAAGATTGATTACGTGAGTTCAGATTCCCACAAACACATAAAGAATGACCTAGAGAGACCATGTTAAAAGTGAAACCTGAAAATATTGCACATATAGAGGAATGCTAAATATCATGAATAAATTTCCCTGACCACTAGGAATAATTTGAAACAATCACGATGCCAGACCTGGCACCTCATCGTACGGAACCCTTTTGTGGGTTAATATCCAGTTCTTTACACGCCCTCCCATCTTTATATACACAGTTTACTTACAAATAAATTATAGGTAGCTATATTTAACTACTACAGCTACATTTCTTTATAGATAAATTTCACATCACACTTTTTTATAAGTCTTTGTATGTTTGTACAAAACGATAATTTACATTAAAACATATTAATAATAATAATGTTAATAATATTACTTCTCGATGTAATGGTGTTGGCACAGATTTGGCACGCTTAACGCAAAAGGCATCGGGCGGGTCTGGTGCAACACGTCAAGTACAGGTACTATATCACGCGCCGCCGTGGACAGCTCGGGGTGGGGGCCTGGGGGGGCCCTCCATGGCCCCACTGGGGGCTGGGGCAGCATCTGCAGCTTCCGATGATATGACTGGCTTAATGAATCAAGCAAGGGCAAGATAAAGGAAGAGGGGAAGGGGCGAGGGGAGGGGGAGGAGCCAGAGGGCGAGTCGCGGAGTGCCTAGGAATGCCTCGCGGCACGTCGCCGCCGTCGTCTAGACCGTCTAGACCGTCTAGACCGTCGTCCGGCTCGGGGCGCTCTCGGCCCTCTTGACGTTGCGGCCGTTCCGGCGCGACAAGGCCAGAGCCAACCAAAACCGCGTCGCCGCCGAAAAAGTCTTTTTCCAGCGGGGCCCCGCAGTGGCGCTGGCGCACTAGTTGTAGGGCCACGAGTGACGGAGCGCGGTCACGGACGGCACGCCGGAGCCGAGGCCAAGGCCCAGACCAGGGGCGGCAGCGGCGCTGGCGGCCACCGTGGTGGGCGTCGCGGAGCCGCCGCCACCGCGCGGCGAGGCCGTCACGGCCGTGCCGTGGTCCTGGAGGCCCGGCGCCCAGGGCGGCCGAGGCCGCGGGCAGGGCGGCGGCGGTGGACGAGGGCGCCGGGGTCGCCGCACCTCCCCGTCGCGACCGCGGCCACACTCATTTCTTGAGGTCGCCCCCCGCGAGGTCTTTGGGCTTGCTGTCCGTCAGGCTGCCTGCGCCTTGGCCGGGGAAGCTCTTGTCCAGCGTCTTCATGGACTCGGACAGGTAGTTCTGCGGGACGAGAGAACACGGCAACGTTAGCGGACTCTTGTGCTGCGGCTCCCTCTCCATCCAGAATAGTGCTCCCGCCGCTTTGTCTCTCTCGCACTCAAGTGGAGGTCCGTCAGAGTGCGAGAGAGACAGAGTGACGAAGCGCTACCCACCTGGAAGGCGGTGAGGGCGGCCACGATGGCGGGCGAGCCGAAGCCGTGCGAGATGAGGGAGAAGTGGGTGAGGTGGCGCTGGATGCTGGCGTCGAGGAGCAGCGGCGGCCGCGTGTTGCACAGCGGTGACCTGTCCTTGTTCAGCAGGTCCACCAGCTCTTTGGTCATTTGGCTGCAACACAGAGGGAAGAGTCAGGGCTAGTGCACTGCGTGCGTTTCCGGGGGAGAAGAGCGGCGCTACGCAGCGAGGGCAGAACCGGTCGCCTTTTCAAAATATTATGGGCCGCGGCTGCAGCGGGCTGCGAGTCCGAACAGGGTCCTCGGTGCTGTCTCGTAGAGGTGCGACAGAGACAGAGCAACGAAAGCACTGCTCGGAATCAGCCGGCCGGGCGACTCCGGGCGACTCGCGAGGCGCGGCGAGGCGCGACCGAGTCATGACGAATGGGGCCAAAGCACTGACAGTGCACTGACCAGCCCAACGCCGCGGACGCGACGGGCAGCGCAGCAGCGCAGCCGCATTCCGAAAACAAACTCCACCGGGCCGGCCATGTGCTCGGCACTCGGCACGCGACACACTGCACAGTGAATCCGCTCGGCCTCACCAAGCGTCCCGCGGTGGTGCGAGAGAGACAGCGCCGGAGGCAGCTTGCTGTAACGCGGCGAGCGGCGAGGTGTACTTACATTGTGGCGTGGATGAGCTCCTTGCGTCGGTACGAGTCCGAGGGGTCGGTGTGCTGCCTGCTGAGGTACTCGGCCACTTGCCGGGCGGGGAACTCCGTCTCGCAGACCGTGTTGAAGTCTCGCGCCAAGTGGATGGCCTCGCCTGCAATCAGCAACACGACGACGGCCACGTCAGTCAAGCGGCGGAGCACGGAGCAAACGGCCAGACAGCGGCCGGCGCTGGGTTACATTTGGGGCGACGGGGAAAGTAAACGGTTTTAACCACGGTTTAAACCCAAATCCCTCCAAAGAAACCCGCGGACAGGTCTTCCGGACCACTGTGCGTGGAGTCGGCGGCACGCCAGGACGCCACGGCCGGGAGGAGGAGGAGGCTCGTCCGTGCCATGCCCCGTGCGCGGGCTGGTCCCGAGCGTCGCTCTGTCTCTCTCGCACTCGTGGGGCGTTCCGTAGGGGTGCAAGAGGGACAGATCGACGAGGCGAGGCGGTGTTCGGGATGAGCCTGCAGCCCGGCAACGCGTCGGTCGTGCGAGGCTGCCACCAGGCTGCCACCAGGCTGCCACCCCTCTCGGCCACAATGGCGACTCTATCAATCTTGCGGCTCGTGGCGCTGCGCTGCCCGCCCCGCACTGCCCCGCACTGCCCCGCACTGCCCCGCACTGCCCCGCCGGCTCGATACGGCAGAAGCACCAAGCACCGGACCGCTAGGCCGCAGCATCCCAGGGCCTCGGCCCGCGACGCAACGACGCGCGAGGGGTCCTGCCGGTCCTCCTCTATCGCACGTGCTATTTTTCACCGAGCCGCGCGCGAGGTAACCACCGCCACCACGGCCGCGGGAAGATGATTTTTTTTGGCGGGAAGGGCTAGGGAAAGGAAGTGTCACCGCTCAAACTGGCCTCGCGCGCAGACGAGGTTCCGCGAGTCGCCGCGAGATGGCGCTGCGCGCGCCGAGCCGCCGCCCGCTCGCGCTGGCGACCTAGGTTAGCGTTATAACTAGTTTGAAAGCACTTATTCTTCCGTTGAACGTTATAAGGCTTAAAATTACTCTTCCTCGTGAGACGAAAAATTTTCATTCCGAGTGCTGCTCCAGGAACCGCACTACGCCGCAGACACAGTCGCCTAGCGCGGGGGCCTGGCGGGCTGCGATACCCGCCTGTCACACTTCGGGGTACGTTGGGTTGCCTACCGACTAACGCCGGGAGGTAGGCCATCCCGGACGACACGCACGTCAGGCGGGCCGGCCCAGCCGCCGTCGGCGGGCGCTGGCACTTGCTTCGGCGCTGTCTTTCCCGCTCCTACACTGAACGCTTCCCGAGTGCGAGAGAGACAGAGCTCGGCATCAACCTGCCGATCGCCATCGCGGTGACGGAGGCTCGGCCAACCTCGCGCATTGTGCGCACCGGAGGGCCGCGCGGTCACGTGACGACGCGGCGCCTCTTCGCCGCGGTCATTGTGAGAACCTCGGCCGTGGTAATGAAACGACGACACAAGACTGCAGTGGGGGGCTGCCAAGCTGCGCAAGGTGCCGAGCGACGCGGCAGCCTCATTCCGAACAGCGTCGTGCTCTCTCTCTCGCACTCACGGGGCGCCCCGTCGGGGTGCGAGAGAGAGAGAGAGAGAGAGAGAGAGAGAGAGAGAGAGAGAGAGAGAGAGAGAGAGAGAGAGAGAGAGAGAGAGAGAGAGAGAGAGAGACGGCTGCTGTCGGCGACACAGGCAGCGATGACGAGACGACACTGCGCGTCGCGGCGTCGCGGCGTCGAACGGGCCGGGGAGAAAGGGGACGGGATGAAAAATTCGGCGGGCTGGATATGCCGGTGCGGCTGGCGTAATGAAGCAGGACGCAGGGCGACATTGTTGGCGGGAAACAAAGCGGACAAAGGCAACGGCAAGGCGAAGGCAAGGCGGAGGCAATCAAAGGCCACAATAGGCAGCAAGTCGCCGCGGCACGGCGGCACGACGCGAGGCAGAGGCCCGGCCGGTAGCAGTGTGGTGGCGCGGCACTACCAGCGCACGCAGCACACGCACGGCATCAGTGTCCAGACAGATAGCTTTCTTGGCTACTCGTCCACTCGGCGCCCTACCCGCTGCTTTTCTTTTAATTCCCGGACTAAATTGATTCGTCCCGCGGCCGGGCCGAGCCGAGCCCAGTCCGTCGTCGGCCGGCAGCAGACCGATTCCGAGAGTCGTTCTCGTCGCTCTGTCTCTCTCGCACCTGCAAGGGACGCCCCATGAGTGCGAGAGAGACAGAGCGACGAAAAAGGCTCTCGGAATGAGCCTGCGGTGGGTGCGGTTTCCTCGCGTCCCTTGTGCGAAAGAGTTGCACGGCAAATCGGGGGCGCAACAGCGCGGCTTGGCGGCGGGCAGCGTCGGCGCGTCCAGCGCGTCCAGCGTGACGAACGGCCACGCGCCCCGCGGACTCACTCCGAGGGTCGTTTCCGTCGCTCCGTCGCACTCGCACTCACGGGGCGTCCTTTATCGGTGCGAGAGAGACAGAGCGACGAAAACGACCCTCGGAGTCAGTCCGCTGGCCGCGCTCCAGGCCGGCCTTGCACTTGCACTTGCCGTAGTGGAGTGGGCCGGCCGGGCTGGCCGGGGTGGTCGTATCCGTGCAAACTAGTTCGCCTCAAGATTGAATGGAAGGCGAGATAAATGTTGGCCGCGGCGGCGGTGGCGGGCTGGCGGGCGCGGCGCAGCGGGTGCCAGTTATCAGAAACCCCGGCATAAACATGATGGAGCTGCGGAGCTGCAACTGGCTGCAGCCTGCAGGCCGAGTCCGCACAACGCTCGTTCGTCGCTCTGTCTCTCTCGCACTCGTGGGGCGGCACGGAGGGCCCGAAGGGGTGGGAGAGGGACAGAGCGACGGAATCAGTGTGCTGGGGCGGGCGGGCCAGGGCCGGGCCAGGGCCGGGCCAGGGCCTGCAGCGGAGCGTGGCCGTCGCGGTGCTGAAGCGCTAAGCCCAACAAGTGGACCCACTAGACCGGCCGCGGCCGGCCGGCCAGCGGGACGTCGTCCTGTCTCTGTCGCACTCGCATGGGCATGGGGCGCTCCATGGAGGTGAGAGAGAGAGACGGAGCGACGCGGAGTCAGTCTGCTATAGCCCTGCTGCCGGTCAGCTCCAATTAGCGGTGGTGGGGCTGGACGGACGGGACGGGACGGGACGACCGGGGCGCGTAGGAAACAGGAGATGGCCTGGTCCTGGCCGCCCCGCCCCGCCCCGCCCCGCGCAATTTGTCGCCGTGCAAACACGACGACGACAGTGGGTCAGCGTGTGAGGGAGGTTAGGCCCGGCGGCGCGGCGCCGACTGGCGAGCCCGCTCAACGTGCACGCATGCGTGCAGGCAGAGGGCTCGTCGCACGCGTTACAGTGTGGTCAGAAGGACCGAAAGCTACGAGGAATGTGCACGCGCGCGCCACACTCACACTCACACTCACACACACACACGCCCCTATCGCCGGGCTGCGTAACTGTTCTAGGAGATGCAATAAGCTCATAAAAGAAGTGTGACAAAAAAAAATCCGACCGGACCCTAATTACAGCAGCACAGTGGCGGCAAGGGCGGCGGTGGCGCGCCGGTGTACAAAAGGCCGCCGTGTGATTACACACACACACACACACACGCTGTGTGGACGAGAGGCGGGAAAGAGAGAGAGGAGGGGGGGGGGCATGACGGCGGGGAATGGCGATGGCGACTTGGACGCCCGAGCGGCACGACAGGGAAGTCCGAACGAATTCAAGCGGGCGGATGCGATACACCGCACAGTGGTCCAGAAAGACCGGCGCCAAACTCTAGACGCGTTTTGAGCTCCGGCATCGCTAAATGGGACTCGAATCGAACGTGTGACCCCACCAATGGATTCCTCGTTCGGAGAGCAACCCGTTGGTGGGGTCACGCCATCGGTTCGAGTCCCATTTAGCAACACGTCCGGAATTTCGACCGCCTCCACCGATCTTCTGGCCCACTGTGCAGCGCGAACAGCAAGGGCCATCCTTCAACGAAGTACTACAACCTCCGGCGGACAAACAGACCCAACAGTTCTGCCCCCTCCTCTTTTCTACTTCCTCTTCCACGGTTCGCGCGCTGTGCGCAGTCCGCGCCGTCCGCGCAGTCCGCCGCGGATCTGGTTGCGGGCTCTGCAAATTGCGCGTGCAGCCGGGGCGGCCGGGGCGGCGAGGCTGAAAACAAGCAGGCGGGGCGGGGCGGGGCGGGGCGGCCACTTTGTGGGTACCAGGCGAGGGCACCTGCAGGGGGAACCCATTCATAAACGAGTCCACCATCTAGCTGCGTGTGTGTGTGTGCGCGCGCGCACGAGTGCGTATATGTATGCATAAAATCAAATTGAATCCTCAAAACGCCCCGCATAAATACACGTGAACAACAAATAACGGCGACAACGACTTTCTGCGATTCTCTGCACACGCCGGACGACTTTTTCCAGAAAAGCTCCCGAGCCGTCGCCGTCGATACATCGAAATGGATGGCATCATCTCAATTTGTGCCCGCGCTTTCCGCAACAAGCGGAAAAGTAAAAAGAAACAAGCATCAACAAAGCAATGAGGGAAATCAGCGGCCGTTGGGCATAAGGGCGTAAGTCACATGGCAAACCCATTGAAAAAAGGTTCTTCTGTCCGATGACCACTCAAATGACGCAAGTAATGACATGCTGCATGCCTGGCCGGTGTTTGGCGACGTCACGCGCGACCAATGCCCGCTGGGCTGCGCCTTGGCTGCGCCTTGGCTGCGCGCACAGAGCACAGCGAACCGACCGCCAATTTTTCCACGCGGTCTTTGGTTTTCCTTTTCCTCGAAGAGGCGGGGCAGAGCGGTCCGTCGTGGCGCCGCGTCCGCCGCGCTCGGCACACGCACGCCCGCCGCCGACCCGGAGCACACCGGCACGCCGTCCTTCTTGGCGGTGTAGACGGCCACGACGGGCATGACGGGCACGTGGCTGCCGGGGATCATTACCTTCTGCGGGGCCGCGGGGGCGGCAGCGCGGCGGCGCCCGGTGCCCGACATCGCGGTGCTCGACGTCGCGGGGGCCGCGAAGCCCCCCAGAAGACCGATCCCGAGAGCCGTCCTCGTCGCTCTGTCTCTCTCGCTCCCAAACGGGACGCCCCTTGAGTGCGAGAGAGGCAGAGCGACGAGGACGACTCTCGGAATGAGTCTGCAGGCACGTGGCCGCCGCGTCCGCCGCGTCCGCACGTCGCGCCGATAGCGGCAATAGCGGCCCATCATGAACCGGCTGCAGGGCTGGAATTAAAAGCGGATCCCTCTCGCCCTCCTCCACGGCATCGGCCTGCATCGCCTCCGCCGGGACGATTACAGGCCACGGCGCACCGCGGCGCCGTCCAGCAGGCCAGCAAACTCACTCCGAGGGCCGTTTTCGTCGCCCTGTCTCTCTCGCGCCGATACGGGACGCCCCACGAGTGCGAGAGAGACGGAGCGACGAAAACGACTCTCGGAATCAGTCTGCAGACCCGCGTCGGGAGCCATTCCGCGCCTTTTCAAAAATAATGAGTGACTGACGGCGACGTGCACCGCGTCCCGGCGACCGGTGACTGACTCGACTGACCCGCAAAGCCAGGTTGCCAGCGACAACCACCACCAACTTGTTGTTGTTGTTTTTCGAGAAATTCGAATTACGAAAGAGAATGAAGGCGCGCCGTGGTGCCCCGGAAAATGGGTTTGCACTTTTACGGTGCAGCGGCGGGCCGACGGCAGGCCGGCCGTGCTTAGGGGTGGCGGGTGTGCGACCGCGCACCGCGCACCTACCGCGCACGGACCGCGACCTGGCCGTGGCGAGCCGCGCATACAAATTGGCGCATTATTTTAATGGCGGCGGCCGGCCGGCCAGCAGACTGATTCCGAGAGTCGTTTTCGCCGCCCTGTTTCTCTCGCACTCATGGGGCGTCCCGTGTGGGTGCGAGAGGGACAGGGCGACGAAAACGACTCTCGGAATGAGTGCGCAGGGCAGTGCAGGGCCTGTCAGGGCCAGGGCTGCCAACGCCGCGCGCAACGCCACCAGCCGCGCCCAGCGCCACCGTGCAAATGGCCAGCATCGATTGGCGAGGCAGGGGCACACACTTGGCGCCGCGTTCCGCGTTTTGGCGCCTTGCATGAATGGTACTCACCCTCCACGAGCGACGTCAGCAGGGTCACGTTGGCGGCCTTTCTCCGACCAGCGGGAAGATTCAGACCGATCTTGTCCAACCTCTCTCGTAGTAACCTGCCTCCATTCTTGGACTTGGCTCTGCAACAAGACACACACACAGACTCCATATCAATGACGCTCACACACACACACGCGCACACACACAAACGCTGCCGTTACGGTACAAGTGTGAGTCGGGGGCAAAGTGCAATGCGCGCGGCGGAGCATCGGGTCGTAATAGCCGTCAGCAGCAGAGCGATTCCGGCCGATTCCCTGTCTCTCTCGCACTCGCGGGCCGTACCCATATACCGTATGGGGGTGCGAGAGAGACAGCGCGACGAGGCACTGTTGGCTGCAAGGCGGGCGGCGCGGCACGGCGCGCATACACCCACAATCAGGGGGCCTAACCGTCATCAAAGTGCAAGCTCTGCAAGCGTGGCACGGCACGGCATGGCACTGCACTGCAAGGACTGCGAGGGGCCGGCCGGGCCGCCTCGACCGCAGCGAGCCAACAGAGCAGCGGGCCGACGACTCGCCCGCAATCTCTCGCTCCCGACACACACATACACACACACACACTGTCACACACACACACACACACTCGTACACCGCCAAATAATAATTGGAATTTATTGTCATAGTTGGTTTACGATCTGGCGAAAGCCATTAACCACTGTAAAGTTGTTGATACCCGGCCCGGTGGTGTGCGCGGTAGAATTTAATGGATCCTTTTTTTTTTTGCAGTGCAGCCGCGCGGAGCCGCGGCCGCGTCGTCGTCGCCGTCCTTAGGCCCGGCCATCGCGGCCGCAGCCCCCTCGGCCTGCTGGGCGTTTGGCTAGGCGCGGCTAGAGCGGAGCAGCGCGCAGGCAGGGCGTGCCGGCCGGCTCACGGTGCCAATTACAAGACCGGGACGCGCACGTGCGCACGTGCGCTCCAAAAGCGGAGGGGGGCGGCGGGAATCGAACCCGCCTCCCTACCGCCAATAGTGCCCCATTCCCGCGGAAAGCGCGCGCGCGGCGAGGCCCGCGCCAGTGAGTCATCTTCCGCGGAAACGCAGATAAAAGCTCGGCCGGCGAGACGTGCCCGCCGCGCACACACGCGGACCCTGCGAGCGTGTGAGTGTGTGTGCGAATGCCCCGATCGCGTCAACCCGAGGCGGAATAGGCAGGAATCCACGTGCCTCCGCACCGTGGGAAAAATGTGCGTGCGGCATCTCCCCGCGCGGTGGCGGAGGAGTTGCTGGATAGAAAGTGACAGGCTCACCCCCAGGACGCAACGCTTTGCTTCGGCTGGTGTGGTGAGTGCTGCAGACGGATTCCGAGAGTTGTTTTCGTCGCTCTGTCTCTCTCGCACCTGAACGGAGCGCTCAAGAGAGCGAGGGAGACAGGGCGGCGGAAATGACTCTCCCGGCGCGGGTGCCCAAAACTCTAGACGCGTTTTGAGCTCCAGAGTCCTATTTAGCGACTCCGGAGCTCAAAAAGCGTCAAGGATTTTGGCCGCCTGCGCCGAGACACGACTTAAAATGTCTAGCCCAGTGGTTCTCAACCTTAGGGTCGCGACCCCAAGCGGGGTCGCGAAATTTTTTTAAGGGGTCGCGGCGATGCTGGGGTCGTGTTTTAGGCCGATTTTAAGCAGCCACTGCGTCTGATCCGAGGCGGGCATTTTGCTCCCTCAACGGGCAATCGGTCTTTGGACCTTCCTTTAGCATGCCTTTGTTACGGAGTGCAATTATCAGTCTTAGTTTGGGAGCAGTATTGTCTCAAAGTTGGCCGAAACGCTCAGAAATGTCTATGAAAAATCGTGTTTTGGGCCGATTTTAAGCAGCCACTGCGTCTGATCCGAGGCGGGCATTTTGCTCCCTCAACGGGCAATTGGTCTTTGGACCTTCCTTTAGCATGCCTTTGTTACGGAGTGCGATTGTCAGTCTTAGTTTGGGAGCAGTATTGTCTCAAAGTCGATCAAAACGGTCGCAAGTGTCTTTGAAAAACCGTTGTGACTATTTTGGTCAACTTTGAGACAATACTGCTCCCAAACTAAGACTGATGATCGCACTCCGTAACAAAGGCATGCTAAAGGAAGGTCCAAAGACCAATTGCCCGTTGAGGGAGCAAAATGCCCGCCTCGGATCAGACGCTGTGGCTGCTTAAAATCGGCCCAAAACACGATTTTTCATAGACATTTCTGAGCGTTTCGGCCAACTTTGAGACAATACTGCTCCCAAACTAAGACTGATAATTGCACTCCGTAACAAAGGCATGCTAAAGGAAGGTCCAAAGACCAACTGCCCGTTGAGGGAGCAAAATGCCCGCCTCGGATCAGACGCAGTGGCTGCTTAAAATCGGCCCAAAACACGATTTTTCAAAGACACTGCTGACCGTTTCGGCCAACTTTGGGACAATACTGCTCCCAAACTAAGACTGATAATCGCACTCCGTAACAGAGGCATGCTAAAGGAAGGTCCAAAGACCAACTGCCCGTTGAGGGAGCAAAATGCCCGCCTCGGATCAGACGCTGTGGCTGCTTAAAATCAGTCCAAAACACGATTTTTCATAGACATTTCTGAGCGTTTTGGCCAACTTTGAGACAATACTGCTCCCAAACTAAGACTGATAATTGCACTCCGTAACAAAGGCATGCTAAAGGAAGGTCCAAAGACCAGTTGCCCGTTGAGGGAGCAAAATGCCCGCCTCGGATGAGACGCCGTGGCATGTTAAAGGAGGGGTCCCGTGGGGTCGCGAAATTTTTCCTGGGGGTCGCGGAAATTTTTGGCTTCAAATTTGGGGTCGCGAGCCGAGAAAGGTTGAGAACCGCTGGTCTAGCCGTGTGCGCCGAGCCGATCCAGTCTTCTGGGGCGGCCAAAGACGTCAGGCCGCCGGCGATGCTTGCGATGGCGATGCTTACCTGCGGAGGACGCCGCCGAGCAGGGACGCGTTGAGGCACTCGGGCGGGGACAGCCGCCGCTGCACCTCGCCGACGGTCACCTTGTACTTGGAGGTGGAGGAGAGCAGCGACAGGCGGCCGGGCACGGAGCAGAAGACATCCCCTGCGGACGAGGCGCCAGACATGAAGGAGCCCTTCTCGCTGTCGTGCCGTTTCATGCCTGACAACACAGCACGAGATGGTGTGTCAGGGCCGGTGTGGTCGCAAGCGCGCCGCAAGCAGGCGAGCAAAAGAATGGCTATGATTCTGCTGCTGCTGTCGGGCTGGCCGGAGCCGGATCACCCACACCAGGGGAACTGAGGCGAACCCACACTGTCGGCAGCCAAGAGGCTGTGACGGTGCGTCCCTCCTCCCTCTGAGCGCGCGTCCGACCCCGGCGCCCTTACGTGCGTCAACTGGCCACATCGGCTCATTGCAGTCAGCAAGTGGAGCGTTGCAGAAGGCAGAGGCATCAACGATCGCCCGACTACCGCCGGCTCCTGCCTGAGGCCAGAGGACCAGTGGAGGCGGCCAAAACCCGAGACGCGTTTTGAGCTCCAGAGTCGCTAAATAGGGCTCGAATCCAACGTGTGACCCCACCAATGGATTGCTCTCCGAACGAGGAATCCATTGGTGGGGTCACACGTTTGGTTCCAGTCCCATTAGAGATTCTGGAGCTCGACACGCGCGTCTAGAGTTTTGGCCGCCTCCACCGGCCCGGCCCACTGTGTGCAGCAAGGAGTCGGCGGGAGAGAGGCGTCAACAAAGCAGGATCCCCGAAAGGGATCCACCCGGGTCGGAGCCGGAGTCTTATTTTCGTCTTTACTTCGGCTTATTTGGTTTCCACATAGAGTCCGTTTGAAGCGCGGCAGAAGACAAGAGCAATGGTCATTCAAGGCGCGCGCAAGGGTTAAACGAGGCGAAACAAAGGTTGAGAGCAGGCGAAAAAAAGACGCTGCGCAAGCTTATCTTTTTCGTCTTGAAATTGTCTCTATCGCGTTTTGATTTAGGCTTGCGGAAGCCGAAAAGAAGGCAAAAAAAAGACGAAAAGAAGACTCGTACGAGCCCGGCAGAAGAGCCGAAAAAAAGACGAGATTGAGCGCCGCCGGCCTCCGGTCGGCAAAAGAGGTGGTGGGGGGCCAGCGACCGCACTGGCGAAAAGTAAACACAGCCTGCGCTTCGACGCAGCGTCGAACTATGAACCATGAGACTCGGAAATCGGTGCCGCAAGCCGCTGGGCCAGGGCGACTTGTTGGAGGTTGGGTGTCGTTGACGACAAACTCGACGGCTGTGTGGTGTGTCGGTTTAATATTATTTTACACTTCTTAATTTTTTGTATCGCCTTTACTGTTTGTGCTCTCTATCACCGTTTAGCGAAATCATACGCATTGAATAGATCGGACGATGAGTGAATGAATGGTATTGAACCGTCACACCACACAGCCGTCGAGTTTGTCGTCAACAGCCAGCCGCCGCGGCAGCGTGAGACAGGACTCAAGCTCAGACACCCAACCTCCAACAAGTCGCCCTGGCCCAGCGGCTTGCGGCACCGATTTTCGAGTCTCATGGTTCATAGTTCGACGCTGCGTCGAAGCGCAGGCTGTGTTTACTTTTCGCCAGTGCGGTCGCTGGCCCCCCACCACCTCTTTTGCCGACCGGAGGCCGGCGGCGCTCAATCTCGTCTTTTTTTCGGCTCTTCTGCCGGGCTCGTACGAGTCTTCTTTTCGTCTTTTTTTCGCCTTCTTTTCGGCTTCCGCAAGCCTAAATCAAAACGCGATAGAGACAATTTCAAGACGAAAAAGATAAGCTTGCGCAGCGTCTTTTTTTCGCCTGCTCTCAACCTTTGTTTCGCCTCGTTTAACCCTTGCGCGCGCCTTGAATGACCATTGCTCTTGTCTTCTGCCGCGCTTCAAACGGACTCTATGTGGAAACCAAATAAGCCGAAGAAAAGACGAAAATAAGACTCTGGCTCCGACCCGGGCACTTTGCACAAGCTTTATTACAGCTACCGCTAAAAGACTATCAATCTAATTCTAACGCGCCCAATCCCCCTTACAGAACGAGAAGTCCACAGAGAGGTTGCGAACAGGCTGATACTAGTATGCATCAGTGTGCCACGGTCCAACGCCAGTATGCCAGAGTATTTTGGTCGGACTTTTGGTCAACCTGCTGGTCTCCTCAGAGTATGCCTTGGGTTGACCAGTACGCCCCTAGTCCATCCAGTCCGCTCGTCAACCTGGTCAACCCCGCAGTGTCCCTTGGCGGACCAGTCGGACACTTCCCACACTCTTTGAACTTATGGAAGATGGCCACGATGGAGTTATTAGTCAAATATTAAGAGACAGCCACGTGGTTATGTACGTAAGTCGACCAATGCAAGGCAGATGGACGGGATGAAAAGAAAAATGCAAAATATATTTTAGTTAGCAACGAAATTTTTTGACTAAAATCAATGCAGGCCGCTGCCCAGAACATATCGGCACCGAACTTATTGGGTGCAAGTCCAAGCTCGTCCAAGCTTGAAATACACTACGAGAATACAGTGGGTGTAGGCACAAACACTTATCATTCGCCATACAGCTTGCCTGGGCGCAAAACAGCGCACAAAAGACAAGAGTCAGCTAGGCGCAAGCGAAGATACAGACCGCTCCGCGTCATTCCGTTGAGCAGAGATGAGCCGTGGTGTAACGGATAAGGTGTCGGGTCACCAAGCCGAAAGTGTGAGTTCAACTCTCGCTTCTGTTCGTTTTTTCGACCGACCGATTCAACCCGGTCGGACTAGTATCAACCCGTTCCGAGGTTGAATTCAGTCCCAAATATGAAACCTTTTCAACCCGTTCAACCCCTTGGTCAACCTGTCGGACTCAGTCCCTTCAGTAAGCCGTCAGTCCACCCACCAGTCCCTCATGAGTCCATCCCAGCAGCCCGAATCAGGACTTCTCGTTCTGTAAGGGCCCCACACTGGAAAGGTCGCGGAGGTGTCCATGACCCCCGTCTGTCTGTCTGTCCGCCCGTCTTCCGTCTGTCCCACGATGCGCGCGGTCGACGACGCGACACACAAAACACGACGATCTGTCGAACACTCAATTAGGAGGGGAATTTATGCTTCGCGGGGCTTTATCGTCGCGACCGTGAAGCACTGCGAAGTCGCGGGGCAAAAACGGGCGGAGGCAGCGCGGCGCGCGCAGCGTCTCGTCGCCCTGTCTCTCTCGCACCTGTGAGGAACCATACGGAACGCCCCATGAGTGCGAGAGAGACAGAAGCGACGACAGCGGTTTTCGGGCAGTGCTTTTGCAGTGCGCAGCCTGGGAGCGGACAAGGCCCCCGTCGTCGGTGCACTGGAAAGCAGCGCTCCCTTCGGTTCGAACGATTTCCGGCCGGCCACACACTCTAACCCTCTAACCTCATCCCCACTGCCATCGTCCGTCCATTCGACCCCCAACTCTCCGGGTCTGATTTTCTGATGTGGTGCACTGCCGCGGCCAGCCCACGCGCCGAGGGAGTAAGGGAGGGGGAGGGGGAGGCTCGCAATATAGCGTCCGGCTGCCCGCTAGCCAATAATTCCATCCAACTTGGGCGCGTCTTATTATTTTACTATTATTTTATTATTATTATTTTTTTTGCCCGCATTCTTCCTGTCTGCGGATCCAGCAGCGGCGGATTTTCGTCGGACTCGGGCCGGATCGGGGCAGCAGGGGGTCGAAAGCGAAATATTAGACATAACTGCTCCACCCGGCTGCCCGGCTCTGGCGGCACTGGCCGGCGCGGCGGCGAGGGGCGAACCAAGGAACTCGGCTGCGCTGGACACGGGGACGGCACAACGGCACGACGCAGATTAAACCGGGGACCATTATGACTGGATTCCGACTTCCCGATTAAATAAATATTTGGGCCGCGCGAAACGCTCCTCCTCCTCGTCGTCCTCGTCGACTCCTTGGAGGAGGCACGGAAGGAAGCGGGCCGTGCCCCAGGGCGCCGTCGAGGCACGTTCCCGCTCGGCTCCACGCTCGCAGGGACGCAGCTAGACAGCTAGACGCAGCTCCAGGCACGTTCACGGAGACACCCCGGGGCCTAGAGTCTTACGGGGGCCCAGCCAGCCGGCAGCCCGCCACGCTGCTGGGGCGGGGCTGCGTCGCACAGTGGGCCAGAAGACCGGAGCCAGCGGTCAAAGACGCGTTTTGAGCTCCGGAGTCGCTACGCAGGATTCTTCGTTTGGTAAACAATCCATAGCGGGGTCATGCTGGGATCACACGTTCGGTTCGAGTCCCATCGAAGGATACTGGAGCACACGTCCGGGACTTTGACCGCCTCCACCGATCTTCTGGCCCACTGTGCGTCGCCGAATCCAGGGTGGGGGCGGGGCGGCACAGTCAGCCCACTGGGTCATGTCCTCAGCGCTGCAGTGCTCCGCAGGGACGACAACAAGCACAGGCTAATCGAGGACGCCGTCATGAGGGCCTCGACGCGCTGCTGCAGCGGCCCGGTGCCGCCGTCGCCGAGGGGAGGCCGCCATGCCCCGGGGGCACGCCGTCGACGACCCGCACGGCGACCCGCACGGCCTCCGCGGGGTGCTGGGGTACAGGACGGACGCGGGGAAGAGAGAGCGAGCGAGCGAGCGAGAGAGAGAGAGAGAGAGAGAGAGAGAGAGAGAGAGAGAGAGAGAGAGAGAGAGAGAGAGAGAGAGAGAGAGAGAGCGCTAATGGCCTGATGTGATTCGTGGAGAGGGGGCAGGGGGTGCCCACACACGAGGGCAAGCAGGACACGCAGGCAGGCAGGGCGGCACGGCACGGCACGGCGCGCACTTTAAACGGAGCGAACCTTAACACGTAAGGGGTGGAGATTTGTGGCCCCAGGCTACTCCGGCCCGCCCCCCTCCCCCTCCCTTTCTCCTCCCCGCTTTTTTCCCCCCGCGCCACCATCCGAGCAACCCTTGTCGTCAGCCCGTATGGCTACCCCATTGAATTTCATTCGCGTCTGCCGAGTGCACTCTTTAAAGTGCGACTGTTATTATTTTACTGCCGTCCGGGTGACTACCTTTGTGTGCAGTAGGCGAGCCAGGCAGGCTGCTGCTGCACTGCAGCAGGGGAGGGGACCGCGAACCGGTATCATGCTGCGCGTTGCCGGCGTTGCCGCGCGCATCCCGCCCCCTCGCCCGAGAGCAAGATGGCGGACAGCGCGACAGTTAACTTCGGTGCAGCATGGCGGGGTGAGGGAAGGAGGGGGTCATTCAGTCAGTATAAAGACAAGTAAAAAAAATAATCAAGTAAAACAAAGTTAAAATTAAAAAACCAAAAATTTTGCGCATTGCTTGCGATAACTTCAATAAAAATTAGTCGTCCGAAAATGGGTCCGGCGGGGGAGCCGCGCCCGAGGCCGTGCGGCCGTGCCGCCCTGTTTTCCCTTCCGGATGATGGAGGGCCTAGCAGCGGACCGGGAGGTCCCTCTGGCCTCTCCCTCGCACTCGAGGGAGGCGCGGACAGGCCGCCAGGCCGCCACGGGTGCGAGGGAGACAGACAGACCGACGGCCGGTCCCCCGCCGAGGCGTCGCGACGCCGAATCGGAGCCGAGCGCGGCCGGGCGCGAGCGAGCGAGCGAGAGGGCAAAGGGTTATATTGGCAGAAACGAGCAGCCGAGCAGTCATCACGGAATGGAATTATCGCAGCCCTCTGGCTGAGTTGGCCGAATCAAAAGACATCAGCGGGGTTTAAGATGGAGACGGCCCGGGGCATGCCCTGGGCAGGCAGGCAGGCAGGCAGGCTGGCAGGCCCGAGGCTCCGCTAATTAACAAACATTCAATTTGGCGCCCCGCCTCCAGCTGCACTCGCGCGGCCAAGAGGACATGACATTCGTGAATCTCGACAGCGAACGGAGACAACAATCAAACGGGGGCCAGAAAAACGACATCCAAGGGATTTGGACTAAAAATGAACGGGCTGCGTCAATTTTCGACGATTCGAAAGAATTAACACATCGACTTTTCTTTGATTCAATGACACTATTTTCTAGGTGCGAGTGCTCCCAATTGTTCCGATGCTCCACTTTGATGTCGTTTGGAACCGCGTCAGTGTCCTATGGTTTCCGCTCATTCTGCCCACATTCCGCGCTAGGGACGAAAATTAGACCACGGCACACCTTGCAGTGCAGGCTACCCGAGCCGAGAGTCTCGTTTCGTTTCCCTGGCCAACAAGCCTACGCGCGTGATCGACATCCCCCAGCACTACTTCTCCAAATCCGCCAGAGAGGCGGCGCAATTTGTCTATGACATTCCTCGCCTCCCCAATCGAAGTCTATTTGGCCTGCTCGCTATTTGCATATGAAAGCGAGCGCGCGGACGGACGGACAGACAGATCGACAGACAGACAGACACGGGGTAATGAGCGGCGCATTGTCCACGTCTCAACTTCTCATTAGACTTACTTTTCAATAGTGGAAGGTCCCCGATGAAGGCTCCGCCGTCCTCGACGTTGGTATTCTGCAACGAGATGAGCGCACAATCATCAGAAAAAGAGGAAAGGAAAGGGAAAAAGAAGGCGAACTGCGGCCTGCCGAGCGATTCAGAAGTGTCGTTCCGTCGCTCTGTCGCACTCACGAGGCTCTCCATAAGGGTGCGAGAGAGACAGAGCGACAAAGCGATCTTCTCAATCGCTCGGCTGGGCCGGCAATAAGAATCGAACCTCCGCCACCGCACCCTCGGCCGGGCTGCAATATCATAACCCGGCGGCGCCTCTGTGTGTGTGTGCGCGTGTGTGTGTGTGTGCGCGCGCGGGTCTGGGCCGAAAGGGCAGGCGCGCGCTTCGATACAACATCGATACATCGTTTTGGCAGCCGCGTCTTCTGCTCGGCTGGGCAGGCTGGACCGACGCAGTCTGGCCGCTCACTCCAATTAGCCAAGTGATATTACTTTTATCGGCCCGAACTCGGGGCGGCCGGCGGCCAGGTTGGCGAGGAGGGGGGGGGGGGGGGGGCACCGCCGGAGGACTGTGTGCATTGTGGCCCGCGAACTAATCACTCAAAGTGGCCGTGCCGTGTCCTACTCCACTCGGGATTCTCTGCTCCCCGGACCGACCGGCCGACCGCGGGGCCACTTTGCAGCGAGTGTGGGGGTATGAAAGGGGCAGGCACGCCGTCGTCACGAGGCACGCCGTCGTCGCGAAGGCAGGCACGCCGTCGAGCGAAAGGGGAGGCGGCGCCGGGAAGCGAACGCGGGCTCCGCCAAAGCGCCGCCGCCGCCCTCGCCCCCTTCCCCATTGTGGCGGCGCGGCGCGGGCCTTGCCGATAACGCCGACGACCAGGTCTCGGGAATCACGACCAGCTTGGCGATAAAGCAGCAGAATCCAACTGTGCGCCGCCACCGCCACGTCGGCGTCGTGCACCGCGTTCGGTGCCGCTCTCTTCCCGGCCGTCCGGGGCGACGCGAGGCGCGCGTGGCTTTTGGGGCTGCACCGCAAGGTGTGCGCCGCCTTGCCGCCGCGCTGCCCCGGGGGATGCCCCCGGCGATAAGCCCTTTGGCAGGATATGTGCCGGTCCATCCGGGCCGGGCCCCGGCCTCGCCCGCCGCGCCCCATCCAGGACATAAAGCACACGACCCTCGCTGTGCACGGCGGCACGGCGCGCCAAGGTGAGGGAATAGCGATTTATGCTGCATTTTTCGCCACGTTTTTGAGCATTCCCATCGTAAGGGAGGGCTGGCACCGGCAGGGGTCACACACACACACACACACGCACACACAATGAGAGCTAAGCTGAGGTAACACTACACGCAAATAAAACAGAAACAAAAAGGGGCGCCCCGCAGGGCGCAGCGCGCACAACAGTGCCAAACTTTTCACTCATGAATGAGAGGTGGAAATTCAGTCGACAAAAAAAAAAATATCGAGCACACCAAGTCGGATTTCCGGATTCGAGTGCATATTTTGGAATCCGGGCGAGTCCGGGCCGCGCAGGCGTGTCATGCAGTGTGCCGAGGTGCACCCTTAACAAGCCTGCTCCTCGCCCCGCCTTTGTAGCGGTATTAGCGCGGGTAATACGCCACCCGAGCCGGCCCGCACCCTCCGCACCCCTCTCCCTCCCTCCCCCTCCCTCCCTCCCTCCCCCCTCCACCTCCCTCGCTCCCTCTCCCTTCCTCCGGCCACGCAATAATATACCAAAGTATATTTTTTCTGTGCATATAATAGGCACTTCAATGTGCGCACAAAAAGCTGCATGTGTCTCTGCTGGATCTGCAACCTGAGCGTGTTCGTATGTGTGATCGTCGCGCGGCGTACAGTCCGCCACCGAAAGACGGCTCCAAAAGCGGCACATATCGTGGAAACTGGCACAGCACGGCCCACGAATTTAGAAAATTAAATCAAAAATTCACTCACGAAATAAGATTGGGACGGAAGAAATTATTCTTTGAATGTTTTTTGTACAACGGTATCGCGTTTTGTTTTAAAGGTCCAGCCTTAAAGTTTAATACTAAAACCGAACGAAACGAGAGCACTGAAATAAACACAAACGAAAAACACTTTCAAAAGAAATACAGGAAATTTTGCGGTGCTCCTTGCATGACACCCCAAGCGGGCGGCGCGAAGTACTTCCCTGCGCGCCTGTACCCCGACACGACATATGATTGTCATTATTGTTATTAGCGGAGGAAGTGCATTGTGCGCGGTGTTTGCCGCACGCCCCCCAAACACCCCCCAAACACGGCCACAATGCAGGGCATGCAGGGCATGCAGAGGGCGACGACGGCCTCCCCCGTCCCGCCCTGTCCCCCGCCACCCCGCGGAGGAGGAGGATGGCAACGGGAAGGACCACCGCCAATACTCAGATTCGCAGTGTGGCGCGGGAAATGCGCAGAAACGCCTCGTTTTCCCTAAGTAGCCCACGGCCGCTTTTGTGTCGATGTGTGTGTGTGTGTGACTTGTGCAGCCCGGAAACAATAACAGCGGAGAAACAGCGACGACGACGCGATCGTGACGGCGAGGCTGACGGCGAGGTGGACGGCGAGGTGTGAGGCCGCTGCGAGCGCGGAGCAGCAGGCGGAGAGCCCCAGCCAGCAGAAGCAGAGGAGAGCGGAGCTACTTGGCACGTCTCTCTGCTCCCTTAATTACTTCTAATAACTCTTTCTTGCTCCTTTTCGCGTGACAATGGCCTGGCTCGACGCACACGAGAGAGAGAGAGAGAGAGAGAGAGAGAGAGAGAGAGAGAGAGAGAGAGAGAGAGAGAGAGAGAGAGAGAGAGAGAGAGAGAGAGAGAGAGAGCACACACAGCAGTAAGGAATGGCAGAGCTGCGCCAAGTCAAACCGTTCCGATTCCGCGGCCCCGTTCGCCCCGTTGTCCCGCAGGAACCCCCGGCAGGGTCCCGCAGGACACGCGCTGTCCCATTAGGCAGGCAGCGATCCCCCCGCGCCGCTCCGCCGCTCACATGACGGTGCGTTCATATACCACTCACTGCACAACTCTTTCATTTTTTTTCCCCCCCCCCCTTTCTTTTCATTTCTTTTTCCAGCCGCGGTGCCTGCAGTAGTCCTCTCCGGACCGCCGCGGGCGATAGGCTAGTCTTTTTCTATTAATTCGGTTTTGCTAATGCGCGATTTGATTGATCGCCAAGCCCCCCCGTAAGGGCAACACGCGCTGGATTCAGGAACATGTGTGCGGTGCCGCGGGGCACTACCGTCCCGGAGTCCTGGAGGCTCCAGGTGTAATCCTGCAGTGCAGTCCTGGAGCCTCGAACATGCTGCGGTCAGTTCTACGCGCTGAGAAACACCAGCTGCACGGTATACGCTCCAGTCATACCTCAGGACAGTCCTGGCGGTTCCAGCTAAACTTCAGGCCAGTCCTGGAGGCTCCAGGCAAACTTAAGGCCAGTCCTGGAGGCTCCAAGCAAACTTAAGGCCAGTCCTGGAGGCTCCAGGCAAACTTAAGGCCAGTCCTGGAGGCTCCAGGCAAACTTAAGGCCAGTCCTGGAGGCTCCAGGCAAACTTAAGGCCAGTCCTGGAGGATACAGGCAAACTTAAGGCCAGTCCTGGAGGATACAGGCAAACTTAAGGCCACTTCTGAAGGCTCCAGGCAAACTTAAGGCCACTTCTGAAGGCTCCAGGCAAACTTCAGACCAGTCCTAGATGCCCCAGCCAAACTCCAGGCCAGTCCTGGAGGCGGCCCTGCGTCCTTGCCAGCCTCGCCACAGCTCCCGGGCGATGCGAGGCGCGAGGCGCAGCGACTCGAGCACCTCGCCAGGTTATTAATCTCGACAGTAACAATAACGGCCGAGGCGGGGGCCGTCCCTAAGCGCGCGCGAGAAACAACACGGGCGATAAATTGGCCCTCCATGCCGAGAGGGGCTGTCACACTGTCACTGGGAGGAGAAAACCGCGGCGACAAAACGGCGTGGCGAAAGCAGGAAAACGCGGCACGGCACGGCGCGTCAAGGAGCAGATGCGATTACGGCCAATAAAACACGCGGGGCACAACGCGACTCCAGCCGAACGATTCCCTCGTCGCTGTGTCTCTCTCGCACGCCCGCGGAACGCCCCACGAGTGCGACAGAGACGAAACGAGAACAGGAACAGCCTGCCGGGCCGGAGAAGCTGGCGGAGCCGCCCGGCTTGCGGCGGCGTCAGACAGGACTGCACGGTGGGACGTCCCCGTCGGGGTCGGGAAATGGAGGAAAAGCGCGGGAAGGCGTCGTCGGCGTCCTGGCGGGGCGTCCTGGCGGAGCGAGGCGCCAAGGGGGGTAATTAATGGCGGGAAAGCCCTAAGGGCCGCGAGGGCGCCGAGGGCCGCGACACCCTATTCACGTGTCGATCCACCCAGCCACGGCCCAGCCGGCTGCAGCCACTCGGCCACACAATCGGACAATCGGGCAGCTCGGTGGTCTTGATCACCGCGAGCCGCGCCGTGCCGCGCCGCGCCGCCGCTTGTTCGCCTGGACATGCAAATCCCGGGCATTCCTTCAGACCGCCGGGAGCAGGCGGCGAAGGGCGGCGGCGTGAAGGGCGGCAAATGAGGAAGGAGCGGCCCTTATGACCTTATGGCGCCGGGACGCACCGCGCCGAGGCGGAGTCCCCCGAGCTCCCCGCCGTGGACGTCGCGGACGTGACGCCGGCGCCCCGCGGCCAGCTATGCGCCGCCGCCTCGGCCGCCTCGGCCGCCGTGCGATTCTAACGTCAGCGGCGGCAATTTGAGAGCTCGGCTTGTCGCCCTTCTCGGCCTGGTGGCGGTGCCGGCTGCCGCTGTGCCGCAGCGCGAGCCCAGGGTGACACATTGCCGCCGCCGGGTTCCGAAGCCCTGCTGTCTCGTCTCTCTCGCATTCGTGGGGCGTCCCCGGGCGTCCCGCAGGAGTGCAAGAGAGACAGATAAATCCCCCACTCGCGGCCGCCGCGCTTCTCCGGGGGCCGCCGCGGCGCTGCTGCTGCGCTCCGCGCCTCGACATGTGCTCGACAATGCGTGGCCACAAGAAGCAGGCCGTGATAGAGTCGCGGCACCGCGGCCATCTCTCATTACTCAGCAGACTGATTCCGAGTCGTTTTCGACGCCGTCTCTCTCGCGCTCATGGGGCGTCCCGTGTAGGTGCGAGCGAGACAGAGCGACAAAAACGACTCCCGGAATCAGGCCGCGGCTGGGCTGTAAATCAAGTCCCGAGTGACGGCGTGCTGCCACACTGCCTGCAGCGCCTGCAGCGGCGCTCCCGAGCCCTCCGCGCGCGTCGTGGTCGTCGTGGTCGTCGTGGTCAAGCAGGCGCCACGCCACACGCCGGCCGGCGGCGCGCGCCAAAACAACCGGCACGCGTATTGAAAAATTTTTCATCGGGCGAAACTAATTTCCTTTCCTTCGGCCGGAGCGCAGCGGCAGCAGCGGCCTACCGGTCGGTCGGCCTCCGCGGGGGAAGGGGGAGGGGGAACATGGCTCAGTTCAGGGAGCCGATAATTAAGGACCCGAAGTGCAGCATCATGATTCATTAAGGTGTCGATAATCCAAGATGGCCGGCCTGCCCTGGCCTGTGTCGGCAGTGTAGGCCCGCGCCAGCCCGCGCCCGGGCGTGGCGGCAGGCGGCGGCAGCCACACGGTAGTCCACCACGCCCCGCCACGCCGCCAGGCCGCCTTGTTGCTGCCCAGCGTGTGGCCACACTGTGGCGGGCCAAAGACCGGCAGCTCGGCCTGCTTGACCTGCCGCAGGCCGCGGCACCCGAGTCTACTCCGCGGCAGCGAGCCGCCAGGCCCAGGCCGCCAGGCGCGAGGAAGATGATGCGGAGCTACGCGGCGCCGCGCGTCGGGTCCGTGTGGTCCGAGACCGAGGGTCCGAGATCGAGGGGCAGAGGAACAACAGCCCTCCCCTTCACTTCACTTCTCCTTTCTCTGGCGGCCGTCGTAAACCAGAGTGGCTGGCTGACAGCGGGCCGATGTCGGAGGGGCGTTACGTCGCTCTGTCTCTCTCGCACGCCGAAGGGCCGCTCCATGAGAGCGACAGAGACAGTCCTTCGGAATCAGTATCCAGGGCGCCGCTTGTCAGATTGCACTCCGCGAACACCGCGCCCCATGGCAGACTCCTCACAAAGAAATACGTACTACTGTGGAAAACACTCACCCCATCGTAGACGACGGCCTCCTTGAGCACCTCCTGGATCTGCCTCTGGATGGAGAAGGTGTTGCACTGGGCCATCATGTTGTTGGTGGAGACCTGGTTGTCGTCGCTGCCCAGCGAGCCGTGCAGGCCGATGTCCTGCTCCAGGGGGTGCGCCACCATGAGGTCGCCGCGCCGGCTCACGCTGTAGTCGCGCGACCGCGGCGGCTCGTAGGGGAAGGAGGCGTGCATGTTGGTCTGGAACGACAAGCAAACAGGGTGCGTCAGCATCGGGCCACAACAAGGATGATACGGTCATCATTCTTCCAACTGGCTAATTTCAGCCCCGCGCGGTTCGTACTTTTTAGCAGAGCTTTCCAAGCCTCCTGGCCCAGGCCGCAGTAGACTGACTCCGAGAGGCGTTTTCGTCGCTCTGTCTCTCTCGCACCTACACGGGACGCCCCATGAGTGCGAGAGAGGCAGCGACGAATACGACGCTCGGAATCAGTCTACGGCGCGCGCGCCCTGCCAGGCGGGGCGTGCTGGAGAGCCGGCTCCAGGGGCTCCAGGGGCTCCAGGGACTCCAGCGGATGCGTGTCCGCGTTCTCTATTATTGTGGGCTGCCGAAAAGGCAACGGCGCGGCGTCGCGGGGCGTGTCGCTGCGACGCCGTGGACGTCGTCGTGGACGCCGTCGTGGACCGCCGCACCACCAAGCTGACACACTTCGCGGCGTAGCGCGACGCGGAGAGGATCAGCTCGAGTGAGTGGATCTAGCCGCCCGCACACGCACACGTGCACACACACACACACACACACACACATAAATACACGCCCGCGCGTTTTACTGTGCCGTCTCCACGGCAAGTCCAGTCTACTCTGGCTGTTGCCGCGCCCCCTTTGCCAGTGGAGGCGGAGGATTTTCCAGTGGAGCATCCTCGCCAAAAAAGAACGCAAAACAAACAACGCCTGCACTGGAAAAGCGATTGCAGGAAATGGGCACGCGGATACCTAACCAAAGGACGGTTCCGACGCCCGTGCCGCGGCGCGTCGCCGACCTGGAGGAGGGCCTGCACGGCCTGCACGGCCTGCACGTTGCTCGTCACGCTGTCTCTCTCGCACCCGTGCGGGACGCCCTGTGAGTGCGAGAGAGACGTTCCGGAATGAGCCACTGGAAGCTGAAAGGGCGTAACAGCCGCAGGAGCGGCCGAGGCGAGGCGCTGGACCTCGGCAGGCACTCGGGCCGTCGTGACGAGCCTGCAGACTGATTCCGAGAGTCGTTTTCGTCGCTCTGTCTCTCTCGCACCTGTCCGAGACGACCGGTGAGTGCGAGGGAGGCAGAGCGACGGAAAGGTCTCTCGGAATCAGTCTGCAGGCAAGGCGGGCCAGGCGGGCCGCACAGACGCCTCGCCCTGGAATTAAAAGCCGCGAAGCCGCGCACGGCGTTCGGAATGTAATGAGTTGGGACGCGTGTGGGCCCCGCGGAGGGGCGGGGCGGGGTGGGGCGGGGCAGCGCAGCGCGCCTCAAGGGGGCGAGGGAAGTCCTCGCACAGTCCCTTGTCCTGAGACTTCTAAAAAGTAATCCCCCCCCTTCCTTCATATTTACCCCCTCTTTGCCCGGCTGCCTGTCGTCGTCTTGGTCGTTTTTTTCCAATTCTGATTATCCCCGAGCCTCCGCGTCGCTCCGCGTCGTGGTCCCGGCCGTCCCGGGGAGCTCGGCCAGGCTCCGCGCGCCAACAAGGCAATGAAGTGCCAATTTGACGACCGTCGATGATACACCTCGTAAATCCGTGACACTTGTCATTACGTTACCCGCGGGCCGGGCCGGCCGGGCCCCACACGGCCCCACAGGTCGAGGGGGCTGCGGGCCCCAGTGGGGGCCCCAGTGGGGGGCTGGGACCGCGCAGTCGCGCAGTGCATTCCCCTGCCTCTGCCTTCGCGACACTTCAATCATCGGGTCGTTTTCGACGACACTGGGATAGCATTGCCTGCCAGTGCGTTGCCTTGGCGTTGCCTTGGCGTTGCCTGCAGCCTGCCCCGACGGTAACAAACAGCCGGCAACGACCGCCGCGCCGCACCTCCACTGGGGCTCAGGGTTCGAATCCCGCGGCGCGCATGCTTTTCGTGCTCGTCCCCAGTCGGTTCCGCCGACCGGCGCACAGTGAGCCAGAAGACCGGTGGAGGCGGACAAAACTCTAGATGCAAGCACCACACCGTCGAGGAGTCAGCGCGCGGGGCGGCACGGTCACGTGGTGCAGTCGAGTGCTAGCGCAAGTACACCGTACACGGCCCGATATTGCCGCCAAAGCCTCCGTCTCGCCAGCTGGCTGCCAACTATTTGAGACACTTTAGCGATGCGCGCGAGCAGCGCGAGCGACGGGAGCAGCTGTGTGGCCAAGGAGGAGGTCCCGGAGGAGGGTGCGGCGGGGCGGGGCGGGGCGGGGCGGGGCGCGGAGGGAGCGGCGTGCGGTATGGGCGCCTCGGCGTCATAACGCGACCAAGTGAAGGAAGGAAGGGGTGCGTGCATTCCGAGCAGGCCGGGCAGGCCGGGCAGGCCGACGGGGAGGGCAGGGCAAGTTTGCGACAAGTTTGCTGTGCCGCCGCCCCGCCCCGCCCCGCCGTCCTCTGTCCCACAGACGCCCCGCCGACGCCCTGCCGGGCATACTTCAGGCAGGGAAATCAGCTGATCCTCCACGGCCCCGCCCCGCCCCACAGTGTGGCCGCACACTCGATAAAAAGAAAAGACAAAGCGAAACGTGCCGTCCTGCTCTGATTTGTGGTCGTCCTGAATGAACGCCAGCGACGCGAGCGGGGCAATGCTTTATTTGACAGCATTATTATCGCGCATGCGCCTCGGCCGCCGTCGCTCCGTCTCTCTCGCACCGCCGCGACGCGCCGCGAGTGCGAGAGAAACGGAACGACGAAAGCGGTTCGGAGCCCGCCGCGCCGACCGCGACGGTCCTATTTGCAGGCGTGATTACAAGAGGACGCGCGAGTGCGAGAGGGGCCGTCCTATTCGCAGGCGAGTGCGAGAGGGACAGGACAGAACGACGGTCCTATCCGCAGGCGTGCGTGAGAGCGAGAGGGACAGCGACGGTCCTATTTGCAGGCGTGATTACAAGAGGACGCGGCCCGCGTCACGCGCGTGCGTGTAATTGCATCCTGCCCGCTATCGATCACCGCACTTCGATTACCGGCCCCATTCGATACCTCGACGCGCGGCAGCGGCAGGCCTCCCGGTAGATCATCTGGATCATCTGCATGTCGGTGTCCGCGGCCAGCTCGGCCAGCAAGCAGCCTGGCCGGCCGGGCCACGCCACGCCGCATTCCAGCCTCCTCCATTCATTCACTCGGGCCCGTCCGTACTCCCGCGTAAAACGCCTCTTGCCGTTTTCACCCCCCTCCCCTTTTTCTGATGAGGTGCGCCTCAATTTACGACGGGGCAATAATTAATGCCGGGCGATCACAACAAAAAGGAGAACCGGTGTTCGAGAAACGCCTCCAGCGCGGGGACCGCGCAAATCCCGGACGTGTTTTGAGCCCCAGAGTCGCTAAATGGGACTCGAACCGAACGTGTGACCCTTCAATGGATTTCTCGTTCGGAGAGCTATTCATTGGTGGGGTCACACGTTCTGTTCGAGTCCCATTTAGCGACTCTGGAGCTCAAAACGCGACTAGAGTTTTGGCCGCCCGCACCGGTCTTCTGGCCCACTGTGCGTCTCTGACTACGCGGCGGAGTGCGGGCTGTACTTACGACGTGCAGCGAGTCCGAGTCCCTCCGCTGCGACACGGCGGCGGTGAGCTGGTTGTAGTGGTGGGCGGCGGCGGCGGCCTGCTGCGCCGTCTGGTGCAGCGTGGTCAGCGTCTGCGAGTAGGGGTCCGGCACGGACAGGTAGTCCAGCTGGTGCTGGTGGGACTGCGCCGCGGCCGGCGACGTAGCCTGCGGCAAGCAAGAGGAGCCCGTCGAGGAACTGTTTTCTGTCTCACTCGCACCCCTGGCACGCCCCACGAGTGCGACGGAGACAGAGCGACGAGGCGGCGCTTCGGAAGCAAGTCGACATGGCGGCGGGGTTGGTGGGTTGGTGGACCGCGGGCGAGGACCCACCACGCTACGCGCTGCGCCGCGCTGCGCCGCGGGCAAGGTCCCAGACGGTGGCCGCCGGCCGGCTGCTCGAGTTACGCGTCGGCCTGCAGAGTGATTCCGGGCGGAGCGGCCGTCGAACCGTCTCTCTCGCACCTACGGGACGCACAGTGGGCCAGAGGACCGGCGCAGGCGGTCAAAACTCGAGACGTGTTTTGAGCTCTAGAGTCACCAAACGGGACTCGAACAAAGCGTGTGACCCCACCAATGGATTCCTGGCTCGGAGAGCAATCTATCGGTGGGGTCACACACGTTCGAGTTCCATTTAGCGACTCTGGAGCTCAAAAAGCATCCGGGATTTTGACCACCTCCACCGGTCTTCTCGCTCACGGAGGGACGTCCCATAGCATGGATGCGAGAGGGCTTCCGTCGGCGGCCTGCCCACTCCTGCTGCAGGACACCCAGACTCACCTGGTGGTGGTGGTGGCTCGGGGGCGGGAAGGGCGGCGGGAAGTAAGGGGGCTGGAAGTCGGTGGCGTGGTGGGGGTTGGGGGTCATGTTGGCGGTGGCCCCCACGCCGCCCGACGCCGTCCTATGGTGGTGGTGGTGGTGGTGGCCCGCCGAACCAAACGGCGACGCGCCGCCGCCCCCGGAGCCGAGGGAGGCGATGCCGCCGTGGCCCGACAGCCGGTCCTGCAACACGACAACGAGGGCGAGAGTTAGAGCGAGCAGAACGTGGACAAGACAATCCGTCGAACGTGGCGCATGGCGAATTCCGCGCCGTGATGGCGATGGTGAATCCCCAGCCCCCGCGGCGCCGCGGGCCGCCAGCTCGGCCTGGCCGGCCAGGCGGATCGGTGACACGCGCGGCCATCACCGCCTCGTCGCGGCTTGTCGCGCTTCCCAGAAGGCCCCCGATAAAGACATGGCACACTGCTAATGATGCGAGGGGCTGTGATAACAATTACTGCATTGGCCCGGGACGGGTTGCAGCCTCGCGCGCCTCGCCGCTCTATCGCTCTCTCGCACCTCCACGGGGCGCCCCGCGAGTGCGAGAGAGACAGAGCGACGAGGCGACTCGTCAGAGCCCCAGGGGAGCGGCAGAGAAGTGCGCCGTGCGTGTAGGGCCGTGTACCGGCGGGACGGGTCTTACAGTGGAGGCGGCCGCGCGTTGCGGAACCGCCGAACCGCCCTCAACGACACCGCCCCGGTGGCGCCAGAGACAAACGCAGAGCCAACCAGAAAAAAAGTTCGAAACAAAAAAAAAGCCCCGTGGCAGTTGCACTGCACTGATAAACGACTTCTGCAAAGTGAATTGTCAAATCTGAGAACCAGAATCCAGCCACAGGCAGCACCGCCAGGGGGCGTGGCAGCGAAATAACACGGGCAAAAGAAAGGGAAAGGTTTGGGTGCCCCGAAATGATGGCGGGACAACATTGCGGGCAGTGTAGGCACTGTGGACGGTGGTGCGGTCTGTGAAAGTGCATGAACGGCCGCGACCGGTATAAAGTGCATTAGAATGGCGCCTAGGCGGCCTAGGCCATCCGTGTGGTCGGTCCACTGCAACCGCTACGCCCCACACTGCCAAAAACAACCTCGCCGTTCAAAATACTTCCTCAAGAGCGATAAGTTCCATAGCATTTGCTAAAACCGCTAATATACTGTTCACTAAAAATCAATACGTACTTCCAAATTTTCTGAGGCCTCAGGAATATTTCGGAAATATTTCCGAACCCAGAATCGCTACACAAACATTTTCAAGTTTCAAAGAAAATCGCTGGTGGTGAAAGATTTGGCTCCCTGTCTCTCTCTATACATTCTCCGAGATCAGGAACTGGAAACGATGGTCCGGAAATTTGTTGCCACTTTAGTCCGTGTGAGCAGCACCCTTAACTGAAACCATCAAACGCGAACGAGCGCGCCGATGAGCGACGGGATCGTATAGCGGGGCGTGACAGAGAGAGAGAGAGAGAAAGAGAGAGAGAGAGGAGATAAAGAGGAGACAAATAAAAAGGCCCGCGCCGTTTGGCGGAACGCGGAACGGTCCAGCGCGGCGAGGTGCCGGCGGTGCCGGCGGGGCGGTTTGGGAAAACAAATTTAAAACCGTTTTTGGCGACCTGACCGCGCCGCGCTGCACTGCCTGCACTGCCGCGACCAAAACCCGACGGAGTATGGAGCCGGGTGGATTACCGGTCTGGGCGATAGCGCTGCGGTGGCGCACCAACTAGCCGCCCCGCCCCGCCCCGCCAGAGCATCGCTGTGCCCTCCGGCAAGGTAGCAGGTCGCTGGCGCCACCGCGGCACCACTGCCGCCCCCCGCCCCGCCCCGCCGAGCGTCTCTCACATTGGCTGCGATTCGCGCACGTGACGTTTCGCGCTTTGGGCACAGCCCTTAAAAATAGCAAAACCAGTGAAAAAAAAAAAACAATAAAAAATGAAAACAGAGCGTTGTTTCCTCCGCACACGCGCAAATACATTGCCACAATTATCTCGCAAAGCCAAACAAGGCAATCAAACTTTTTTCCGGGTGGATATTTTTTTTTTATCACGAGCCCCACGGCGGTTACTGTAGTTTCGGGCGTGGGAGAGGCCACGCTGTTTTCGCTGCGAGCGACGTGGCGGCACGGGGAGGGCGCGACGGAAAGCCACCGATACACTGTATCGACGAGACACGCGCTAAGCAACTTGGGGCGCTCGGAAAGCATTCAATTAAAACAATGGAAACCCGTTCCAAAGCCATTCATCAGACACTCTCGGCGCACCGACGATAAACGAACCCTCGCCGACGAAGTGCCGGCCGACGCGCGCGCGCAATGAGCTTCCATTTTTTCCCCGCCACAGTGGGCCAGAAGACCGGTGGAGGCTGTCAAAATTCTTGACGCGTTTTTAGCTCCGGAGTCGCTGAATGGGACTCCGGATGGGACTCCTCGTTCGGAGAGCAATCCATTGGTGGGGTCACACGTTCGATTCGAGTCCCATTTAGCGACTCTGGAGCCTTAAGCGCTCGCGCAATGAGTTTCCATTTTTTTTCCCGCGGTGACCCGCACCGGGATTCGAACCCGGTCCCTTCCGACCGACAGGCATGGCAGGCATGGCCGACAGGTGTGCGCCGGGTCATCGTCCGCGGAGTCCTTCCCGAGCCCTCCGCTGCCATCACAACATAAACGTCCGCGATCAACTGCCATTAATTGGACAGCATGGAGATTTACACCGCCAGCCCGCGGCCATCAAACACCCTTCACTCCGCGGTGCGCCGGCCCGCGCCGCGCCGCGAGAGAGAGAGAGACGGACAGCTTTACAGAGACGGAGAGAGAAAGAGGGGCCGTAACTGTCCCCGCGGACCACTCTATTCGGGGAGAGCACCCCGGCCACATTCTCCAGTGTACGCGCCGCCCGCCGCCGCCCGGTTTCGTCAGCCTGGCGGTCTGACGCTGCTGACGCTGTCGCAGTGTCGCGGTGCCGCGGCCAGGAACCAAGCGACGCGCTTTCGGCCGTCGGTGTCGTCACCGTCGGACAGAGGGGGAGGGACTCGAGCGCGCCGTGCAACAAAACACTTAAAGCAAAAAATGAAAAATATTTTAAAAAATTCCACAGTCCAGTAGAAAGGACTTCAAACGTGCCCTAGCTAGGGTAGGCTTATGTACAATTTTGTATACAGTACATTGTAAGTACGTACACTTCGACATTTAGTAGTGCGCGTTCAGAAATTTTCAATAAGAGCTTTTCACTGCGTTACGTTTTTTCCCTTCTTTTCCGGCGACAAACAGTGCTTCAATCCGCGCGAGCCCGTCCCACCCGAACGCGAAGGTGCCAAGCAGGCAGGCCCGGTGCCCGGCCGCGGCCCGCTGCGTGTGTGTGTGTGTGTGAGTGTGAGATTTGAGTATAGTTTACGGGGTCGTCGTTAACGACCAGTCAAAAGACGAATAAAACGTTATTCGCTCTGCGCCGCTCTGCGCAGACAGCTCTCTCGGCGAGGCGCGGCGGCGCGGCGGCCGGGCGACCTGAATGTCAGGCTTGCGAGGGCTACCCGCTGGACCAGGCGCTGGGCTCCAGAACTCCAGGCAGGGCTCCCAGCGCGGCAGCCGGCCCGCAGACTGTCTCCGAGAGTCGTTTTCCTCGCCCCGTCTATCTCGCACTCATGGGGCGGCCCGTGTAGGTGCGAGAGGGACAGAGCGACGAGAACGACTCTCGGAAACAGTCTACTAACTTTTTAACACGGCAAAATTGAATGATTTCACTGGAAAATGTGTCGGTTCTAACGAGTCGTCGCGTCGGGTCGCGAGGAGGCGGCATTGTTTGAACGTTGAGGCGAGTACGAGCCAGTGGATCAGCAGCGAAAACGAATCCGACGAGTGGTGTGTGCGTGTGTGTGCGCCCGCGTGACTAGGAAAGTGAAGGTGTGCTTGGAGGGGCCGGGGAATTAAGACAAGGCCGACACTTTCGGCGATACGCGCCCCGCCCCGCCCCGCCCCGCCCCCGAGACATTCCAAGCCGAAATACTTTCCCAAGTCGCTGCTGTCCGGAATGGCATTCGGGCGCCTTGCTTCGCCTTGCTTCGCCTTGCTCCGCCCCGCCCGCCTTGCACACCGTGTCGCTCAGTGCCGCTCGTCTCGCTGCCGGAGCTCCTCCACTAATTAATCTATCACATTTCCCGAATGAGTGGCCCACGCGGCCCACGGCCAGAGGCAGGCCAGAGGCGCCAGGGGCCTCTGACGGCTCGCCCCGGCATCTCACCAATGCGCCGCCGTCTCGACTCGCGGCAAAGACGACGACGTCGCCGACGAGTTCCGTTTCACAGTTCCCGATTTTCAGCAGCCCCGCGCCGCCGCTGTGGTTGGCAGGGTTACTTCGCCAGGGCGGCCTGCCACGCCGGCCTGCCACGCCGGCCTGCCACGCCGGCCTGCCGGCGAAGGGTCAGAGTAACTTTTGGCGCTGGAGTTGCGAATCCAAATTTGTTATAATCTCTTGCTGGCCGGCCTGCCTCGCTGCCTTGCTTGCTGGCTGCTCTGCCGGCGCTCCAAATTCTTGAGATGCCGCGCGAGACACTCTGCCCTCCCTCCACCCCACCCCACCGGCCCCGCGCCGCCCCTCCGGGATCTACCCCCTCATTAAAAATAGCAGCAAAATGTTGTTCTCTCACGGAAAATGGATGAAAATGCCGAGAGACACCCGGAGACGAACCAGGGCGGCCCCGTCGCGTCTATCGGCCCCATCGGCCCCCTGCACAGTGGGCCAGAAGACCGGTGAAGGCGGTCAAAATTATGGACGCGTTTTGAGCTCCTGAGTCGCTAAATGGGACCCAAATTGAACGTATGACCCCACCAATGGATTCCTCGTTCGGAGAGCAATCCATTGGTGGGGTCACACGTTCAGTTCGAGTCCCATTTAGCGCCTCTGGAGCTCAAAACGCGTCAAGAGTTTTGACCGCCTGAACCGGTCATCTGGCCCGCTACGGACAGTTCGGAGTTCGGGCCGTCGGCGCGGCTGAAGCGACAGGGAATAAGCGGCGTTACAAATTGCCAGCGAATTAAGACGTCGGGAAACTGGCGGGCCGCCAAGCAGTGCCCCGAGAAGTTTGTAATAACGCCGCCCGTCTAGCCGGAACCACACGCCGCAAATTTTATAAGTACTGCATACATTGTCAGAATAAAGATCCGAGCGTGTCGGCCCTGGTCTTAATTGCACCATTGACTG